TACCATGCTTTTTTACGTCACTGTAGCACATAAAGTTCAACCATGAACATGTTTTAATTCTACTTGCAAACTTAGCTAATTGGTATTCTAACACATTACTTTGCTGAATAAATATAAACTGAAATGATGACCATTGCACATGCACTTGTTTGCATTTTTTCCCACGCAAAACTACAGTATAGGTAAATTGCCATTTGCAAACTTGCTTGCATGTCTATAATTGTGTCTCGCACACTACGAGTAGTGGGGAAAAATCTTCATCTATTCCGTGATAGTTTCTCCAGATTTTGAAAAAGAGTAGGCTCACTGGGGGCCACAAGAGAAATCCAGGTCTTTCAAAACTGGCCACACATTTCGTTTTATCGCCGATAGTGCCGATTCGGCCTAAAACAATCAAACAATCATACACATGTATTTCTTTAGTATATTCATTTGCTAAATTCTCTAGGTAGAATTTTTTTCTATTCAGTTGTTTGCATATGCTTCAGCTTCTTTTTGGTCTTCTTCATCAGCCCCTACCTTCCTTTGCAAACTCGTACGCAGTATTCAACGGTGGCGAAGCGGTTGTGGTTTCCCCCGCATCTGCTATACCAGAACGGGCGACATAGTCCACTTTTCTTCTCAAAGTAATACCTTATTTCATATTCTTTTCGACTTTTACACCAACTGCCGTGATTAAGGCTAAGATTACACGCGCATGTGCGCTGACATTCACTTCGGGTTCGGAATACGTTCTTAGATTTTCGGCAGCCATGATGCATGAAGCTGGAACAGCGTCCCTTCTTCCTGTTAAAGTAGTAAAGCTTTTTTCCTGGACCACATAAGGAGTCGGATTCAGGCTTCATATCGAGGCAGCCTACATGTAATTATGAAAAAATATTTATTATCAGAGATGAAGTATCTTGAACGGAATCTGTTCTTGAATGTAGAGTGCTAAAGATATTAAGTTACTGTGATTCAAATATATTTTTGGCCGATGCAATTTAAAACAGGTTTTTTTCCTAATCTTTTCGGCGAAAAAATAATTTGTACTGCATAAACTTAAATTAAAGAATAAAGTAATCTGATAAGGAAGAACCGACTAATATTTAAAAAAAAAAAGAACACAGTATGCAGTTGTTTTATACTTCATAAATTATTTATTTATAATAAAAAATAATCCAGAAATAAATAAATATCAAATCAATGAGTGAAAATAAATTTATTTTTCAGTAGTTAAAAGAAACTGTGGTTTTTTACATTAATATTTGTCTAAAAGAAAAGATTTAAGAATCGGACATAAAAGAAGTTGAAATAGAATTTTTTTAACATCTCAAAAATCTAAGTTCAAGAAAATACACGTTCATTTTCCCTTACTTTACAGATGTAAAAAAGACAATGATCAAAATGTTTTAATTTCTATTTTATTTAAGGACGGATGATACAAACAAATGTAAATAATGAATTCCTAGAGTATAAAGAAATTGTAAACCTTCTGTAATGTTCAAAACTCTACCCTTCTGAAACCATTCTTATTAATCTATACAAATATTTTTCACTTCAAATTCTATTTTTGTGCAACTTTGAATTAAATATTTAAAAAACTATGCGGTGAAACTTATTCATTTCATTTTTTGAAACATGACCCAAGTTGTTATTTTCAAAAATTTTGACAAAAGTTTGTTTGTATCATCTGTCCTTAAAAATATGTAAATAGATTGAATATACATGTACTTACTTTCCGGTAAAGGATCCACTTGTAAAGTGTGTAAAGTTTGGAACAACGCAACATGAAGAAAAAGTATTAAAAAACAAATCTTTATCCAGACCATCGCAAAGTCCATTACTGTACTAATGTCGCTCAGACTTGCATTCCTAACTAATAAAAGTTCAGGTAAATTACTCCACCGATAGAATCTTCATTGAAATACAACTAATTGCAATAAATGTGTAATGCATGAATAATTTAAATTATTTACTACGTGGAAGACAATTGATAGTCTGTACTATTGTATTTCCTCGTTAAAGTTTTGCCAAAGGTCAAGATGTCCAAACATTTATTTTTAAAATAGCTTAAAAACTATGCGAGTCATAGTTAAAACTTTTACAGTTTATTAATATATCATTGATTAACAGATAGGAAGTATCACTTCAAAGCAAATATTTAAAAAAAATATTTTTTGAAAAAAAAAATATTTTCAAAAAATTGCATATTTAAAAAGAAATACATCTGTTTAATTCTGTACTTTTGGTGAAAAAAACCCATAATTGCAGAAATAATATTTGTTTATCAATGAAGGGCAAGTTAGATGTGAATATTCTCTGAAAGGCTGTTATTGAATGCATGACATGTATAAAGACACAGCCCCAATAAAATCCACCATTTGCGATGTACTTTCGGTTTCAAATCTTAACATTTGGACAACATAGATAGGGAAAAAAAACTTTCCAGAGGCTATCGATGTCCAACTTGCACTTCAATGATACATGTAAACATACATTGTTAATGCAATGATGGCTTTCTCTTAAAGTACGGAATTAATTACAAGGTGTATTTTTAAAAATAATAAATACATAATTTTTATGCATTTTTTAGAAAGAATTTTTCTTTCCTGGATAAATATCTTTTTTTAAGTATTTGTTATCAAGTGATACTTTCTATCTGTTAATCAATGTAATTAAACCTTTAAGTAAATTTAATTTGTATTATGTTCATTAAAATAATAATAATAAAAAAAACTTCAATTTCCTTTTTTTATATCAAACTTTAATGCTAATACATATTGTTGAGGACAATGCAACTACATTGATTTTTTTTTACCCTTATACGTATTTCCTTAAACCCTGACCGCTGTTTTTTTTTTTTTTTTAAATATTACGTATAAAGCTCAGTTTCAAAGAATATCAGTCATTTTTTGAATAAGTCCAAATTATTGACCTTGCTCTTTTCTTTGACTTCAAATTAATGTCAAGCTTATTTCTAAAGAAACTATATAGAGAATAATACATACCCTTTTCCATTCACATCCTGTATCAGCCCGAGACACCAATATCAGCCAGAGGGCCGAAGGCCCGAGGGCTGAAGTCGAGGGCCAATGTGATGTGGAAAAAGGGTATGTTTTATTATATTTATTACATACTTAGTAATAAAATACAGTTGAGAAGAAAATAAGTAAATAATCATGCATGGACTTCTTACATACATGTACATAGTCTAATGTCTCATAAGATTTGGGTTTGTTTCTATTTCTATTTCAATGCACTTGATCCGTAATTTGAAAATATTCTATAGTATATACATGTATTTGTAAATTAATATTAACTTTAATTTCAAAAAGTTAAAATTAAGAGAATATGAACTCATCAAAAATTGTGTATGAGTACAAGTACTGTTATTGTGGTTTTATTTACTAAGGGTGTTATATTGACGTCACAATAGCCGTATCAGCCCTGCAGGGCTGATATGGATTTGCAGGGCTGATACGGATATCAGCCCCGCAAATCCATATCAGCCCTGCAGGATTGATACGGCTATTGTGACGTCAGCCATATCGCATATGCAAAAAACCTGTATTTATTACTAAGTGTGTAATAAAAAGATATATTTATCAAACTCCATATGCTAATTCATATTGAAGAGAGCTCTTTATTTACATCTGATTCAGTATTTTCACCTTAAACTTCCCTTTTACCTTGGCAACACTTTTCTTATTTTTGGTTTTCTTCATTTTCAAAGAAACTTTCTATAGATCTTTATGTAAGTTAGCTGATCATGATGCAGCGATATATGCATTCAATTTTGTTTTACTTGACCTTCCCTATGACCTTTGACTCTACAAATTTCTTATGTTTAAATCACTGTTTTAGAGAATCTGTATGTACTTTAAATATTCATACACCCATGCAGGCATTTTCATGCATGCCGTTTTAATATTAATCCCTGAGATGATAGTTATAGTGTTTATTTCTAGTGTTGTCAAAGCACTTATTACAGTGGCAATATTATCAAATATTTACATCCACTGAATATTTTCTCCTTTATTTCTTAAGAAACCCCATTGCGTTCATCCCTGCATAAACTACGATAGGCATGTCGCCTGTACAGATTTCTTAATCAGTGGCTGTTCCATCAATGGAACATATAAAGACGTTCGCATCATTAATACAATAATCAATCTTTTTAATCCTACTTTAATTGATTATTTAAACAGATATAAATATAAACAATAAAATGTCTTTCTTTGTTTGTTATTACTGGAATGAACGGTCGCAGCTATTGCAGAAAAAATTTACATAACCCGCTTACGCGGGTTATGTATTTTTTCTGCAACAGCTGCTTCCGTTCATTCCAGTAACAACAAACAAAGAAAGCATTTTATTGTTTAAAGAAATTAGGGTCCGTTGTCATAAAACTTTGAGAATTCTCAAAAAAAATCTCAACTCAAGTCTTGAGAATTACTCAGCTGAGAATTTGAGAATAAAACAGAGTTTAAGAAATTTTTATTTTTCTCAACTTTTTTATGAGGGCCGCTGAGTCTGAGAATTTTGGATTTGAGTAAATTCTTGTACTTGAGAGCATTCTCAGAATTAAGTATGTTTTATAACGGCGGACCCTAGATGGCCAAAGTTGATGTTTTTTAAACGTGGTTGAATCTCCAAGTTTAACCTGCCAATGAAAATTAAGGAGGCTAGGGGGTCAACAAATTAACCATCAGATACATATAACTTAATTTTTTAGCAATGATATAATCTTTAGCTGTCAACTATCATTTGGCAAAGAAAAACTTCAAACATTTTAGTTTTTTGAATTTCATCACTTTTGTATATCTTTAAATGGAGCTCTTCTTCTAAAGGAGATCAATATAGTCGAAAAATGGTCAAAACTACTCAGCCCTCTTAATGGTAGTGATTTTTCACAAACATGTTTGGGTTTTTTTCCCATTGAAAATATGAGAATCAAACAAGGACAATTTTTTTCAGATCTTTATTTTTTGTTACAACAATCAACAACGTAACAAAATTCTTTTTTATCTGTGGATCATACATTTTTGTCAAAATATTTTTTTGAAAAATACCTTGTGCTGTTCTTATATTGTACCTGTTTCCTGTTATAAATAGTTTGAGGTCAAGGTAACCAGTGACCTTAATTCATGGATTTATTCCATTTATTATGCACGAATAAAACTTTTCATACACATTTCCTTCCTTTGTGCACTTTTAGGAATAAAGTAAATATTGTGCTAAAATTTCGAAGTAAAAACAGCTTAAATTTAAGTAGTTGTAGTTAAGGTAGAATGAACTTCTGCAAAGAAAGATAACTTTTACAGCTATAATTTCAATTGTCAAGGTATAAATAGTTCTGCGTGTCCTTTATAAATATAATGTGCATCAATTATTTAAAATGTCTTTTGCCATGTTTTATATTTCAGTCAGTGGGAAATCACTTCGTTTTTAGAAAATTGTCAAAGTACAATTGTCAGTTAACCTTGGACTTTCAGTAAGGCATGGCATTCTCGGCGCTACGTAATTGGCGTCTGTCAAATGGCTAATAGATTCTCATTGGTTAAGAAATTAATGACATCAGGAACTTAAAATTGTTGTTGACAACGATGAAACTATTTAAGCCCCACCTCTTTGCCGGACGAGACGCTGTTATGGTTATTTGCTACATTCCATGAAAATTTCCCGAATTTCTATCCCATGTATATTTCAACAGTGAATGAAAGCTGTGTAAATTTCAGACGCTATTTATGTAACATCGAGAATGTCACGCCTTACTGAAGTCCAAGGTTAACTGAGAATGGTACTAAATACCAATAAAATGATTTTGATGGGGATATCATGGTTTTCCACCCGATGGTATAAATTAATGTATTTAACTTAACACATAGTTCACAGTTTTGAGATCACTTTCATTGAAAGCAATTAACATCACAATTATGCACTGCAATGGGCTTAGTAGTAAAAAAATGAAAATGGATTGTTCCAACCAATCGTGGTCGACGGATAATTTGGAAATGGTGAAGTACCTGGGGGTATTTGTGTTGCTACGCTAGGTTGTGCATTTGGAGACATATTTGGTTCTGAGTTTGGTTGACGCGGTGGTTGAGCGTTTGGTTGACGCGGTGGCTGAGAGTTTGGTTGACGCGGTGGTTGAGAATTTGGCTGACGCGGTGGCTGAGAGTTTGGTTGACGAGGTGGTTGGGAGTTGGGTTGACGTGGGGGATTTTTGGGTTGTTGAGAGTTTGGCTGCCGCGGAGGGTAATTTGGTTGACGAGGTGGCTGGAAATTTGAGTTTGGACCATTTGGTTGTCGTTGTCCGCCGTTTGGAAAGTTTGAGTTGGGACCGTTAGGAGGTGGTTGAAAGTTCGGATTCGAGTTAGGACCATTCCATTGTTGTCCATTATTAGGCTGTCTATTTCTTGCCCAGGGTGGTGGTGGGCCGTTCCTTTGAAGATAAGGTGGTCTCCTTTGTTCATTGCCTTGGGAATTCCACGGCCTTTGAGGTCCAGGTGGAGGTCGTTGTCCATTTGTTTGAGGACGCCATCCACCATTTGGTGGACCCCATTGACCGTTGGATTGTGGAGGACTACCTCTTGGATGTGGTGGCCAATTACCATTATGAGATGGCGGGTTATTTCGTCCCTGAGGTGGAGTAGGAGGTCGACGATTAGGGGGTCGCTTGCCTTTACCAGCATTGTTCTTTGGTGGCCTTCCTTTGCCTTTCAGTGGAGGGTTTTTCTTACTCTTTCTAGGTGGCTTATTGGGTTTCCTTGGTGCCGGGCCTTGACTACCTGGGCCGCCATGAAACGGTGTCCCTGGATGTGCCATACCGCTTCCAAAAGATCCTGGTGGAAGTGCAAAAGGCATTCCTTCATTGATGGAAGGAAAATCGAAGCCTATTATCGACTCTATCTCCCTGGGATTACATGCAGCTTGACACTCGCCCTGAGTCATAAAATTATTGCCGTTCCCACCACAACCAGTGTAGGGCTTTTGAACGCAGACCTCACCAACGGCCATCCATCGCATAACCTCTTGCTCACAATTTGGTCCACCCACTTGTGTTCCTTCTGATATTGGCTGTCTACAAACACACTCTTTCTTGCATTGTGTCATTGTAGCAAATCCTGAGAAGGCACAACCTAATTTATACACGCATCTGGAAGAAAAATGTTATCTTTTATTTTCATCGTAAAACATTGTTAACAAAGAATAGAATGCGCACTTCTTGATTTATGTCACCTGTGATTGTTAAAGCAACTATTTGAATTCGAAAAATCGTTGTTTATCACCTGTTAATTACATAATTTGCACATTTATTATTGTTAATCAGCAATAATTCACACATCAAGTTGACATTTTATACTTACTGTCCTGTGCGTTGGTCGAAAAAATATTTATAGGTGTCCATTCCCATACAATATTGAGCAGTCTGTGGGTCTGTGGTACATACTGAAAGAAGCAAAACGTATAAATTAATATAATGTAGGTATCGTTTATTACTCCATTTAAAAAGACCTCTTAATTATCATTGGTCTAGAATAGATGTTATTTATGATTGTATAAATCCTTCTTCTCTGATTGGCTGAAATCCAATATTTTATGTTCAAATTTAATGTTCATCTGCACGTGATCTTTCAAGTGGACACAGGAATTTATTTTTCTACATGAGGCTTAAAATAAATCAGGAAATTACAAACTGATGCAAAAGGCTGTTGAATTTTTTTTTCGGGGGGCGGGGGGGGGGGGTAAAAGACCTGTCCTCTACCCTCACACTTTTTTCCCTGAAAGTGAATTCTTATGTTTGATTTTGTGTGAATGTGTTCATTGAAAGGCTTATACCCACTTTATACACCCTAACACCCTTAAAAGAGGACATAGATTGCTTTACAATTTGTATCATTTTATTATAGAACCATACATGTACATTGTATATATGTAATAAAACCCCTTTTGAACTACAAATGTTCACCTCTCCCTTTGGACTTGGTGAATATTTTTCTGCTCCTTCGGGGTTGCTAAATCATGGTATTGACCCCCAAAAGTAATTGTATACATTGTACATGTAATGTTATTCTGCTGTAATGGATACACCCACTAACCACATTGGTCGTGTTAACCACAAATTATATTAACCCCATTACTCACATCTGTCCATTCTCTGGCATTCTGCATAGATAACCAAGCTAAACAGAATATATGCTGCATGTTCCCACATCTGTCACAGAAAAATACAAAGAGAGAATTATAATTTGGTCAAACACGATCAACTAGGGGTTTAATCAACTGAGGTGAAATGTAACTTTTTATTTGATTTTTTGAAGTCGAATCCTTCAATCAATTAAATGAACTTTGGACATAAATATTATATTTACCTTGTAAGATGTTACATGAACAATAACTGCAGAATGCATATTATTTTGTTCGTAAAATTTTGTTCAAGTGTAAGCTTCAATTTCAGATAATTATGTTCTTCAAGACTAAAGCGTGTGTACAGAAAGCAGAGAAAATTCAGAATAATGTGGATTTGACATTGAGTATGACCTTGAATCGTACAAGGTGACGCATGCGTATCATTAAACTGAGCACATGATCTCGGATTATATGACCTTGCGGAGTAGTCGACAAAAAGTATGAGTTATTTTAAGCGGGAAATTTATCAAATGGCAATTAAAAGCAATAAAATCCTGGAGAAAACGGGTTATTATAGTGTTAAGAAAATATGAATTTATTTTTCTACACGTCTAAATGCATGGTTTATATTTTAATAAAAAAGGATAAACTTATTATAACAAGAAATGTATACCATGTAACTGAAAACAAATTTAAACAAGAACTTTGAATGAACAATTACAAACAACACATTAATTAAATCATGATCTATATTGTTAATATTTTTAGGCTTTCCTTGAATACAATTTATTTATATATCAGAGATTTCAAGCAATACTCATCGCTAGTATTTAGCAACTCCACTTCATTCTTTTCCAAAATGTGTTTTTAAAATTATTTTCAATCCGTTCAATTTAATGAAAAAACAAAGACACACGAGGTTTCTATATATAGATAACGAATGCATTGCAAATCAAAGATAAAGGTCATCGTATGATATGCAGAAAACAGGCCTTTTGATATATCGATGTCAACTATGTCCATGTTCTATGAATATTGACAGCTTATAAGAGATTGTAGAAGGACAGGCGTGTTTATAAATAGCAATATAAGATTCTGTCTTTGTTTCAAACTTTGTTTGTTGCATTCACTACTTACAAGCAAGGTGCAATTTTCAGATTTAAAAAAACAGGCAAAAATTGCAAGGGTTATAGAACCTAAAGTGCATTTGCTCCTTAAAATTTTAAAATTTGCTATTGCATATCTGAACAAGATAATATATACTGATGCAAAGCATCAAATCGGCCGGAAACGTTCCACATGTCGATCACAATACCATGAATGTATATGACACGTGATAAAGTCGATAATTTCTGCAGGGGTGATGAAAGACAACATAAAAAAGTTTCGAAAAACTATTGTTTTCACTTTCATATCTATAGCGAATTCAAAATGAAATTCAGAATTTTTCTTTTATTCATTACGACTAAAATTTTCCGGAATTCATAAGCTTATCGAGTTGTTTTGTACATTATACACACCCACACTCGGAAGCACTTGTACTTTATGATAAAACTCCATATTGCACTGCCTTTATTATAAAGGGTTTTATTTTTTGTTTCTTAACATGATCAAAATTACTGTTAGAAATAATGGACTAAATCTTATAATCTACTTTGATACAGTGTGCTTTTGTTTGTTATAACAATGTAATCATAGGTTCTGTCCTTGATTTCTTTCCTATCCAATACCAATTTCTACTTTTCCTGATATTTACTAAGGAACCCTTTCTCACTTGATACAGAATCGAATTATATGTACCGTAAAACACGCTCATAGTAAAGACGCTTATAATAAATTGACGCTTATTGCAAAGTGATTCTCACTCCTTTCCCATGGCTTTAAATTATTTCATAAACTTAACAGATATAACGAATTACACGCTTATAACGAAGCAAAATCGTGAATCCCTGGAACTTCGTTATTCGTGTTTTACTGTATATATCCTAAATACAACAAAAGCTGAATATGGATTTTAAAATAAGGGAGTGTTTTACCTTACCTTTTTGCCCATATTGTCTTTTCTGTTGGTGATTGCCACCTTCGTCCCTTCCGCACTGACCGTCGGGTTTCTGGTAGTCAGTTGTTGCCTCTATGTGAAGCGCCATTGACAGTTTTATGAACCAGCTTTGGCATACTTACATAGACTTATATTTTTTATATGAGAATGACTGCATAAAAGTTTTCACGCTCATGCCCGTTTGTATAATCGCTGATATAATAGAGATCTTTAAATAATATGGAGTTTGGCGATTAAATTGTCATATATATGTATACTTATATTGTGCATTATTACTTGTTTGATTTGGAAAGAATTTGTTATCCATTTTCATTATTTTTTTTCTTGGAAATTCAATAGTTTAGTGTTTATTAGAGAATTGTAGTTTTAAAAGTGTGTATTATTCTTTAAACATGTAAACAAAAAAAATAAAATTAAAAAAAAAAGACTGGAAAATGCACTGATATTAATTAATACAGATTAAATGAACATATAACAGCGAGTTTAAAAAAAGGGTTTTCTACGCTTGACAGTGAACAAAACATACATCTACAAAGCACATTAAAGAAAGAAACGAATATGCAGACCCTTTATTTAAAATTCTAGTAATCTGGCAATAATTCCAATATTTGAATCTGAATTCTACAACACAGTGAAAATTCAGCAAAATTTAAGAAATAGTTTGGTCTTAGTCATTTAGTATAAAATCGGGAGTAAGCATGTGTCTTTCGCCAGTTAACGATTTTCAAATGCCAAACGAATACATGGCCAATAATGAATGTTGTGATGAGATTTTATTTTCTCTGATCAAAGGAGTTCGCGTACCTATCAATTTTGCCGAAATTTTCGGTAAATAAAAAAGATACGTAATACCTATAATAATAACACGTATTACGTATTTTTTTTATTTAAATGAAAATTTCGTGTTATTTTTATAATTGATAGGTACAGGTGTATTGACAGGGAAGGGAAACATTTACAATATACATGTAGTCCATGCTCTGATATACAAATTTTCAAAAAATAAATGATTCAACACATCTTTTTTGATAATTAATTCCTTCTTAAAAAACAGTTGTAGCATGTTCATCACACATAGGTCAAATTTTCCGAATAATTAACAGCAATAAATGTATCTGCGGGTCATTGACGAGCACGCAGTCGATTATTACCAACACTTTGTGACCATAGTGTTATTTTTATAGATCAGATAGGTTGAACTCACGATATACAGGTGTATTGACAGGGAAGGGAACAGGCATTTACAATATACATGTAGTCCATGCATCTAAGTTAGGGGGCACTATTTAAAAAAAAAAAAGAAGATTTTACATTGAATTTATATGTAGCTTAAAATTGTTAATTGCAATATAACTTTGCACACAAGTAGAATACACTAAGATACATAATTCCTCTCCAAAATGCTACTCCTCCTACAGTTTTGGTCTGATTTCAATATAACTTGGCACACAAGTAGACTACACTAAGAACAGAGACTTTATCAACGATCATATATATTGCTGTTGTAAAGTATGTGGTACTCTTCTCTTCCTTTGCTATAAGTTCAAACCAGTAGAGCTTCAGTCTCGACAGAGACTTCTGGTTGTTGTAGTATATTGTATATGGTCACTCCTCCCATTGTATTGTATCGGTAAAGTTAAATCCTTTAATCAGTCCCCGTCCTCCTGACAAAGGAATGGGTCTTTTTAAAAGATTTCATATTATTCTTTTCTTCACTTGTCATAGACTTTTTGTGTAAATTGCTATCATATTTTACCCTCCCGCCTCCCATTCCCCTTCAAAAACGAACTAAATTAAACAACCGCAGAAGCTGGAAAAGTACATTGTAATAATATGAATTTCCTTAAATCAGCTTCCCAAGTCAATGCTTCTGTTCCGCTCTACTCCGCTCAACATAAATCCTTGACCTCTGCCATGCCCAATCAGAGAAAGCTAATGAAACAGATAACGCAAGACAATTTAAGGCTAGCTAAAACAACGTTTTTGATTGGCTCAAGCAAACTTTTACGAAACCAATCAGAGAGCTAATTTTTGACCGGGTAAAGGTAAGTCAATTTGGTCTCGAGTTCACATGGTGCGGAAAGGATCAGAAACCCTTGTCCTGGAAAGATGTCTTGAAATATGCTCAAACATTTCCTATAATTAAAAAAATTCAATAAAATTTTATTCGTTTAAGTTGACAATGATCGAGGGTCAGTTGTTTTTCTAAAAAGAATACTAATGAAGAACAGGAAAACACACATTTAATGCCTGTCATGTGGATTTCAACTTTTATTTGAATTTTGTAGAAAAATCGCTTAATAAAAGTTATTCTCAAATTGCATTATGCATGATCATGTACACTAACTTTTGAATTAATCCAAAATATCACAAAATTAAATTCCCCGTCAAGAATTGTTCAGGATATTTATTTCTTCTTTCCTGCCATCGGGTGCCATGCATTACTGTTAGCTGAGACGAAATTTTCTCCACCCCTATTAGATCCGCCTCCTACCAAACCTCGACCTGTTCTTCCGCCACCCATGGGTCCGCCACCACCGCCCTGCATCATATTCATCAATTTGCCAATAGCTGCACTCCCTCCTACAACATCCTCCACAGGTAAAGTTAAGGACGTTTGGCTTTTGGGGAAAGGAGCGGAATTACTGTTTGAATGCATGCTGGTCCTTGACATGAAGCCACCACCTGAAGGCTGTCCGCTCATCTTGCCCTGTCCTTGGGATAGCGCATTTGTCATACCCCCGACAAAACCAGAGCCCATACCCACGGGGTGTCGCGCGCCTGAATGTGCGGATTCAAACGTACTACCCGAGAGATGGTCATCTCCCATTCCTCCTGCCGAATGACCAGAAATTTTCAAAGATGATCCACCAAAGCCTGATAGGCCATTTCCGCCGGAAGTTCCGAGCATGGATGATATACTTCCACTTCCGCCTGCTGGAACTGAACGACTTCCACTAAGAACAAGTTTGGATCCGCCCATGGGGCTTCCTCCACTCTGACTTAAACTACCTCCGGATGTTCCAAATGAAAATGCTCCACCAGAAGTTCTAGCTGAGCCCGTGGGAATGGAAGTTTTTCCACTCATTACCAACTGGGATCCACCCACTGGAACGCTTTCTGAGAAACTCCCTCCGGAGGATATGAACTGTCCACCAGCTGATCCACTTGGCATCGAACTACTTCCGGATAATACCATTCTGGATCCGCCGACTGGTATTGTTTGACTATTTGAGGATAAGCCTGTGATTTGAAGTCTTTGTGGAAAATTGTCTTTTGTGCCTTGCTTTGCGACGAAATGCCAATGCTCTTTCTTACGAAGGTCAGGTGTTACGAATCGTAAAATCTGGTTTGCTTGTTGGGTCCCTCTCATGACATTATTGCGTTCCCCATGGATCCACAATGACTTCGATCCGGTGAACTTATTTCCATATTTTTGCGGATTGTAAAAATTATTCGTTTCAAAGTGAATTTCACTTCCGCTACCCCAGTTACTCCCTCGTGGTTTTACCATTCCAGGTGCGGATCCAACGCATGTGGAGCGACATTCCTCATAAGTTTGAAAGTTGTTGCTGTTTCCCTGGCAACCGCCATAAGTAAATTGTTCGCAGCAACCAGTGGTAGGGTTATAGAACCATTTCTCCATTGCTGATCGACAGGGACCGGCTTCCGGTGGAATATGGCAAACACAGTGCCGATTACAGGATTCTTCCGTCCGGAAACGATTCTCGTTACCGCCACATCCGGAGAACATAAAACTGTCGCATCGCCCGGAAACGGGGTTATAAAAGAAGTTATTAATCTGCGCAGAGCACGGTCCTCGTTGCTTTGGAAGTAAGCATACTGCAATGAAAGTATATTTATGTATCATTTATAATGACTTAACCATTGCATTTATTGTTACATGTTTGTTACTTGGATCGGTAGTCGAAAATTTATTTAGTTATAAATAAAGATCGACTATTTTAATACTAAATTCTCTTTTCATTAATATCTTTTAACAAAATAAAAATGATAAAAGAAGAGAATGATTTACCATCAATTGATAATTCTACAGACACAATTAATAGCAATATAAATTTCTCGCATCAAGAAATATCTGCGCTAATACAGTATATGTCATTGACCGCTTAATTTTTTTTTTTTACGTTTTGGTTTTACATTTCTATAATGTAATACCCCCCCTTCCCCCCGCAAAGATACTGGATTAGCACCCGCAAAATAAAACTACTTTTAAAGTACTTAACAAGGCGTCAACTTAAGGCAGGTCCACCCTTTTACGGATCCGGTTTTAATTTTACACACCGATATAAAATTTTGATTATCCTTGTCTATTGAAATAAAATCTTTTTAGATGATTAAAAATGATTTAGCAAGTATATATTTGTTTATTATAGTGTCATTGTGCACACAAAGCATTTAATGTACATTATTTATAGGAATAACCACTTTGCACTCTGTCCATAGGATCTATATGTAATTTAGTACATACACAGACAGAGAATTCTTAATTGCCGTTATGGACCTAAAGCTTTTAATTTTTTTTAAACAAACTAACTTGAGATCTATTTATCTTTAATTTTTAGCCTATATCATCTTTTTAAATTTACTTTTTTATAAGTTTTGCGAAGAACGATTGAAAAAATAGATATTCCAAAAAATGGGGGTATAGGTGTTCAAAAGTCTCTTTTGTAAAAATTTTCTGGTCAACCATAATAAAGTATGTTTTTCTGCTAACCTAAGATATAATTATAAATAATTGTGAAGAAAAAATAGTATATAAACATAAAAGATTTTGAGAAATATTTAAAATAAAGATATTTTGAGCTTTTTTCTATGAAAGATTTTGACACCATCAACATTAATTTTTAGTGTTTTCAAATAGAAGTTTCAAATATTTTCTTGACAAATGAATATTTATGATTTTCCTTTGTTTTTACAATAATTGGATGTGATTTGGTACATAGCTAAATAAAATATGATGTTACACTTCTATATGTTGAATTTTGGCTGTTGAATTTTTAGAGGTGTATACTCCGAGACATGTTGCATGAAAATTAACCTGCAAAGATATGTTTTTTATGGATATTTTAGTTAGATTATGACTTAATCAAGATTTTCAAATCAAAAAATAAACAGTTTGACAGAAAATTCTGAAAGTACGGACCTACCTTAAGGCAGGTCCACCCTTTTACGGATCCGGTTTTAATTTTACACACCGATATAAAATTTTGATTATCCTTGTCTATTGAAATAAAATCTTTTTAGATGATTAAAAATGATTTAGCAAGTATATATTTGTTTATTATAGTGTCATTGTGCACATAAAAGCATTTAATGTACATTATTTATAGGAATAACCACTTTGCACTCTGTCCATAGGATCTATATGTAATTTAGTACATATACAGACAGAGAATTCTTAATTGCCGTTATGGACCTAAAGCTTTTAATTTTTTTTAAACAAACTAACTTGAGATCTATTTATCTTTAATTTTTAGCCTATATCATCTTTTTAAATTTACTTTTTTATAAGTTTTGCGAAGAACGATTGAAAAAATAGATATTCCAAAAAATGGGGGTATAGGTGTTCAAAAGTCTCTTTTGTAAAAATTTTCTGGTCAACCATAATAAAGTATGTTTTTCTGCTAACCTAAGATATAATTCTAAATAATTGTGAAGAAAAAATAGCATATAAACATAAAAGATTTTGAGAAATATTTAAAATAAAGATATTTTGAGCTTTTTTCTATGAAAGATTTTGACACCATCAACATTAATTTTTAGTGTTTTCAAATAGAAGTTTCAAATATTTTCTTGACAAATGAATATTTATGATTTTCCTTTGTTTTTACAATAATTGGATGTGATTTGGTACATAGCTAAATAAAATATGATGTTACACTTCTATATGTTGAATTTTGGCTGTTGAATTTTTAGAGGTGTATACTCCGAGACATGTTGCATGAAAATTAACCTGCAAAGATATGTTTTTTATGGATATTTTAGTTAGATTATGACTTAATCAAGATTTTCAAATCAAAAAATAAACAGTTTGACAGAAAATTCTGAAAGTACGGACCTACCTTAACTGCTTACATGTACCCAAAAGGCTTACTACATGTACATATAGTTAGTCCTGGCCTGGGGGCCATAAAACTTAGACGAGCTCACTTTTGATCTCAGTCTCATTTTTTCTAAAGGAATATATAGTGGAAAAGAGAGACTGAGATCAAAAGTGAGCTCGTCTAAGTTTTATGGCCCCCAGACCTGATACTACAGCACGTACAGCAATTGTAAAATTATTAATTATACTGAATTCCATTTAAAATTTCATTCCTTTATCGTGAGAGAGAGAGAGAGGTACCTGGGGGCGGAGTCCAGTTGTCAGCGCAGTAAGCCAGAGTAAAAATGGCCAGGAGACACAACACTCTGTGCATTTTGTGTGGTGATCTGGAAGGAAAAGCAAAGTTAGTAAAAATTATGAGTGAATTTCACTTGTAAAAGATGACAAATATGAGAATCTATGAAAAATATTTAAGGAATTGTTTAAGGACAGATGACAAAAATACATGTATGCATTTATTTAAAATCCTGAAAATAACAAATCTTATTTTAGTAATTTTATATCAATTAATTGAAGATGTTTTACCGCATATATTTTCATTCAGAGTATTGGGATTTAAAGTCCTTAAGGACATACGCAAGGTACCTACTGATAATTTTTCAATATATTCATATTCAAACTTATAATACCATTACATGTTCCTAGACAAAAAATCAGCATGCGTTACCAGGGGTTTTGAAAAGGTATCAAATTGTGAAAAATTTTGCATTATTCTAAGAAAAATTTACAAAAATCATAAAACATAAATAACATATCTTTTTATTATCAAAAACTGTTTTGGAAGATGTGTACAAATCCATATATAGACATTAAAAGTATTGCACATAGGTCCTTCATTTAGTGGAACACTTCAACTCCAGGGAAGAATCCAATAAAGTTCAAATTACAAACTGCGTATGACCTCAAAAGTTGTAAAAATTAATAAGGATGGTTAGAAAGTTAGAACCTGAACATCCAATATTTTAATAGTCTAAATTATTTTTCGCATGCATCATGTATAACCTACCGGTTCATGGGTTCAAATGTATAAATGTATATACCAATTCAGGCGTTTATTTTATTGTTTGATTCATCTGATGATCAAAATGACCAGTCCTTAAATTTTACATTCTATTTAGCAATAAATCTACTAATAAGTCAAATATTTTAGCGTAATGTAATTAAATATACATGAAATAAAATGGAGAATATAAATATACCTGTGGAAAAAAAATCGTTAAATAGTGCATCTGCAAAAACAAGGACCGGGGACAATCTGTTTAAAAAATCAGATGTGTAGCGATCTTCGTGATCTGGGCTGGGTTTCACAAAACTATCGTAAGATTTGTCCTAAGATAGATCTTACGATCATCTTAAGATCTGACTTATGACAATCATAAGATTTGTCACTGCTGTTTCACAAAACTATCTTAAGTATTAGAAATCTTATGACAAATCTTAAGACGAATTTCATTCCTCAATTTCACAGGGATTTTTTGTTAAATATATGTATGCACGAAGTTCAGATGCCTTTCCTTAATTTTGCAGATAAACCCTAGGAAAAAAGACATAAACATTTTATTGCATCAACTTTAATGTAATCAGGGTATGTTTGTGTATGTCGGGGGTTGGGTCAAAAAATTAAATTTGAATTAGTTTCATCACCTTAAAAAATAATTGAATATGATATGTTTAATTGTCTTCTTGCTCAAAAAATAGTACACTGTAGTTACTGACGAAATTTATGAGATGCTTTTTTATTTAAAGCTACTAGAGTATCCGAACCTTTGCAATTAATGAATGATTATGGCAATGAATCCTCTTGAAACACAAAATCGTGATAAAAGTTCGTTCATAAAATTCGATGTAGGTGTCTTTAAAACGCTTCAACTACTGCAACAAAATATTATTGCTAACAGATGAAGAAAAGAAACAAAAAAAACATTTTCCAATCAAAATTTTATAATTTCAATACGATTAAAAAAAGAAGGAAGAAAGCATGTACATACAGCATCAAATGTTACAGCATGATTTTCATACACATTACACATTCCGGTAGATTAATGAGGGATACCCCAAGAATAAATTTGATTATTGATTTTATCTAATTTTGCACGACTGAAAGAAATGTTTACTTTCTAATTTCTAAAAAAAAATCACCATAGTGTTACATTTACAAAATAAAGTAAAACGTCTAAAAATGAAGTGTAGTTATATATAAGTATTTTCTTTACTTTCATGGACTTATCTAATCCCTAGAAATGCGTATACTTCGTATTTCTGTTTACTAAAAAGACATTAGGGTACCTTGTCAATAAATAAACTACACGAATCTCGAACACAGGAGCTGGAATTACTTTCGTCATTTTGAAAACTGCTTAAATTAGCAATCCTTGGTCATAGTTATTATACCCCCAGCTTGAAAAGCGGGAGGGTATATAGTAATCGTTAATTCCGTCCGTCTGTACGTCTGTCTGTCCGTCCGTCCGTCTGTTACGCTTTGGGGTACCCATCTCTTATCCGCAACTCCTCTCATACCACTGCATGAAATTTGATGCAACTTTCACAGAATATTACACATTGCCATTGTGCACCTCCTATTTTACTTTTTGATCCGACACATATTTTGGGTTTCCCGGCCACAGGAAAACATGGACTTTTTCACCAGTTATAACCATATGGGAGGCGGGGGGTATCATTTATTGTGATATTCGTGCGGCGTATGGAATTCAAATGAACAATTTTGAATAAAGTTATATATGTCAGAGTACGGTATTTACATAAATGTACATGCATGGCCTTAAGAAGCATGGGGGGGGGGGGGGGGTAGCGATTTCAGTTGGGAGGGGACACAAGCGAAAAAAATGCATTGAAATGAATGAAATAGAAAAACATTTATGTAGTACATTTTAGGTTTTCTATAGTTTATTTATTGACAAATTATTTTTGCGGAGGGGGGGGGGGGGGTCATCGTTCCGTCTGGCCTAATATAGTCCAAAGGATTGTTCTATCACTAAAAACCGTTTATCTTTAAATATCCTTAGGCTTTTAGCCAAAATATATACTGTCACCAGTTATACTTTAGACTTAAGACATGTATCTAGTTGTCTTAAGATTTTGAAAGATCTTAAGATTATCATAAGATATGACAGTTTTGTGAAACAGCTATGGTGCAATCTTAAGATAATTTTCGGTCTTAAGACAGATCTTAGTCATAAGACAGCTTTGTGAAACTGGCCCCTGATTTTTAAAAAAATGTGACCCGGAAATCTGGAGGGGGTAAGGTGCATAGGAGAAGTAAGCATTCCTTGCTGATTGACATCCTCCTCCCCCACCTTGTATTGATCAGTAATCGGAGTTATCCGTATAAAAGGCCATATTTAAAAAAAAAGAATTGTTTGCCCTCTCCCGACTGACAGGCTATAACCCCCTATAGATTTATAAACGATTTTTATATTATTTTTACCCCTCTCTCTAAATTTTGTCAACATACATGTTGAAGGTTTTTGACAGACCGGAAAGCTACAGTACCACCCACTAAAAATACTGTATATTTATTGCGCACAAAATTTTGCGCTCCGTGTCGGGAAAGGGCAAACAAAAATTATTTTTACGATGGCTTAAGTAAAAACTACCGGTAATTTGAAACAATGGCCTAATATTTGGCATGGAACATTTAAGCCAAAACACGATCAATATGATAGGTTATGTCTGCTACCAAGATTAAAATGAACTGGAAGATGCATACTTTCGAATAAACCCGCAATTGGATGAAATTTTTTGTGTCTTTCGATTTCTTCGTGTGGATTTTTGAATTTTTAGGTGTTAAAACGCTTAAAGCTATGATTCTAAAACAAAAATATAATACATATTTACACACACACACACACACACACACACACTATTCTATACTATTTATCATTTTTGTTAAAATGTAAACGTATAATAATTTTTTATTTAGCTTTCGATTTTTCATAAACTCTTTTTGCAGGTTCTTATCTTATAATTTCAAAATAAATTTAATGTTAGATACCTTAAAAAAGTTATATTAAATAATTCATAAAAAAATAATATCAAAGTCTTACCGAGTGTATGCTCCTTTTAATGAATATTACCTTCTGTAACAACAAAAAGATACATAGAGTTCATTTGAAGTATAGGAGCTACTAATCACCCCGTGCCCCCGAGGTCCGCCATTTATAACAGAGACGTAAAACATGAGCGTAAGAAAAATTTCATCAAAATAAATTTTACAGTTGCATATCTAGTATTTGTAGCCAGTTCATTTTATTTAATAATCTTTTTTTTTTTATTTCATGTGGTAATTTTGGTATCAAAAAATTAATAAATTGGAAGTTTTATATAAAGTGTGGTGTGACCTTTGACCTCTAGTTACTCATTATCAAGATGGCGTCTTATTTGTGTAGCCGGAAGGACTTAACGCCAGCTCACGCATTTTTCTGCCAGAATCCGCTAATGTAATTAATTAACACGACGATAAAATGAAAAGATTCTTTCATTTTGACCCAATCCCTATTACTTTTTGGTGTTAGCCCCTTGGGTTTTCCTTGTTGCTAAATTTATCTTGGTTTATCATCCTTACAAATAGAGATATTTATATATTCAAAACTTTTCATAAAATGACAGGAACTTTAATAATACACACTCACTCAATTTATCACATTTTATTTGATGGTCTAAAACAAGATCAAGAATCACCGCGTTTTCTTAAACCGAAAGATGGGATACTCGCTCTGGGATTTTTTTCTCCCTACAATTTTTTTTTCAAATGGATAAATCCCACGATATTGACCAGTGGGACATTTTCTTCCACACATTGTTAAACATGGGATATAATATCACATTGATTCTGATGAGGGGGATAACAGAATCATAATCTCATACAAATATTGCCTGTAGTTTAAGTGTAACATTGAACATTTTCACCCCAAGAAAACCATTCTCAACAACAGACAATATACTTTAATAATTGTAATTATTATACACAAATGCATATATAACAGTAAACCTTGAGCGTAATATAAATTCTGAAATATTACCCGTCGTCAAGCAATGTTGACCGTTGCTACGCTGGAGGGCGTGTCTCTATAATTCAGCGGGTAATAGAATTTTTTAACAAATGCATCTCGACGAATGAGATTCAACTAATTTACATAAAAGTATAATGTATGAGAAATATTACACGTTTGACAGTGTATGAAAGAAAATGTCTCACAGGTCCGTATCCGTGGGATTCGAATAAATTTGTAGGAGAAAAAAATTCCGATGGGAGAAAATATCCCATCTGACACTTATCTTCCACTGGAGAACGGTGGAATAATTGTTAAGACTAAAAGTAAAAATATCGCACCATTCTCCCATGGGATTCAGACTTTTAGTTGTTTGCGAGTTCAAAATGAGGCCATGTGATACTGCAAAAAATGTCTCCAAGTCCTATATTTATTAATTTTTTGTTGTTGAAAAAATATGTTTTGTTTATTGTTTAACGTCCCTCGGGAATTTTTCACTAATATGGAGACGCCACTTTTGCTGCACATGGTGAATGGCTGTAAGTGTTGACCTACGTTCGGCACTCAGGACCATTAAGCAATGAGGAATCTTTTTTTGCCAACACCTACTGCAACGCGAAAATATTTGTTGGGGGTTATTGTTTGAGGAAGTGCTAGAATATAATGGAATAAAAAAAACCACAAATCTGAAAAACTGAGTAAATTTGAATGGCATTTATTTGTAGTAATGTAATGAAGCTGCTATGGTATTAGGATAAGTCAGGCCTTGGTATGGTATTAAGGTAGTCAAGCCCCTGTGTCCTCTTTTCTTCTGATCAGATAAATACCGTCTCTCACAGGTAGCATCACCTTAAAAAGCAACAATATCCATGATACATGTGTAAAGAACTATGATCCACGCTAGCGCTATATTCCCGCCCATGTTTGATACTCATTCTGTTAAATACGCATGCCATTACATGTACATGACAATTTTGCCTTTAAAACATGTATGAATGCAAACTATCAGATGATTCATTTATAGTTATAATTGATTAATAATTTCAAAAGAAAAGTCAAGAAATTAAATGCTCTTAGTTACAAATTTGGTATGAATTGGTGATAAAAATCCAAAATACCCGGTGCGTTTTAGAAGTAATTTCGATTTCCCGATCACTTTCATGATGAAAATCACACGTTTTTGAATTATTTTTCAAAACTATTGAGTAAGCTCTCTTTTTTTCACATATACAAAATGTAAATTGAAATGTTTATTACATAGTTATCTATACTATTAAATCATATTTGTATATATATGGTGAACTTTTGAAAGTTGACTTGGAAGTCGACATCAGAACAAATATACTATCGTTCGAAGTTCTTGTAAACGAGAGGCCCATGTTCACCAAAGCAGATAGCCCCTACTGTTCTCCAGAGAAAAATGTTTCAAAGATTTTTCAAGATTTTAAGTTCCATCTTAGCCCATGGATGCAAAATGTAGAAAAAAAGAATCAATGCAACTAAATAAATCAATATTTATACGTATATTGCTATGATTAAATACTTACTTTCAATTTTCCTTATATTTGTAATGATCTCTTATTGTAATCACTGCCCTACCTCAGGGGGCCATGGTTGATAAAAATTGAATTGCCACTATCTAAGAATACTCACATATCAGCAACATTAATCATGGCTTAAATCTTTTTTAGAGGAAGATTTAAATGCATTATGCCTACATTTTCAAGAAAAACGCTCGAACCGCCAAACTCCACCCCAACCCCCATTTATGACCTACCCCCCCCCCCCTTTCCCCGACTAGTTATTTACCTTATGTACTCGATCGTCTTGGAGAACCACTTCATTAAACTCTGATATTGCCCAGGAATTCGATTCATATTTCTCCCCTGAGTATGGATCGCCGCTTTTTAGAACGTTGTCAACAATAAGAGTTCCACCGGAAGCCAACAAATCCTTTTCAAAAATAGTCTGCAAAATATCCAAATCACTTCCATGCGTAACGTATTATAATTTTTTGAATATGAATGACGTGTCGACACGTTGATTCAATTTTAATTAATAATTCCTCGTAAAACTTAAATATTAATATTGATTTTTTTTTAATTGAAATTATTGATGAATCGTTTTCATTGGTTATTTTGTGTTTTTATCAAATATATTCATTTGAAATGAAAAACGGAGTAACTAGTAATCTATAAAGTGTATATATATGTACTAATAATTATAAATCAAGGTAATTACAAAAAATATTAATATATCATTTTTTTATGAGGGTTTCAAGCATCAATAACAAATAAAGCAATAACCGACCTTATAGTAAGAAACGTAGCCATCTTTGTTGGCGTCCATGAAAATAATGTCAAACTTCATTTTCTTCTCCGCTAACTTTCCCATACTCTCTAAAGCAGGCCCTAAATGTACATGTACGATGAAAATGAACAGGAGATGCAAAATAATTAATAATTTTATATACTATGAATACAAACACAGTGAATGTAGATCTTTAAATTAATATAGATATAATGGATTAAAGATGATTATATTCCTTCATTACGATTCATTTTTCAAATTTTAAAGTTTCATGTTAGGTACAATGTATACCGCAAGTCTTATGTCTAAGCTTGCACTATAAACCTCGCAACTAGAAGGCTATGCTGAAGATAGTATAGGTATGTCACATGCTAAGATTTACAAATGTTCTGGGCCCATTGGGGTGACACTAAGGTACCAAAATTCCTAGCTCTACGCCTTCTTTTTACTTTTTCATTAATAGGGTTGGTTGGCTGTGGTCATTTTTAAACCATTTTGATCTCCTTTAAAAGAAGAGCTTCATATAAAGATGTACAAAAATGATCAAATTTGAAGAATAGAATGTATGAATTTTTTCTTTGCCAAATGAGAGTTAATAGCTACAGATACATGTATACATCACAACTAAAAAAATTAGAAGATATTATATCTGATGGTCAATTTCTTGACACCCTACCCTCCTTAACCGAATGCATTAACTATATATACATGTATACATGGTATAACAGCTTATCTAGAAAATGGAAACAGGGTTCAAGATGGTCAAAAAGGAAGGCATAGTAAAAATGGAAGAAATAAGCCCAAATAAAGGGCTGGAGTGCCATCAGTTATTTCTGTATGAGACACTTCATGAATGTTGAAAGTACCCCTTTTCGTTGAGAGTATCCTTTTTCGTACGTACAACCAAATGGTTTGGGATATAAATATAAGAAAGTTTTTTGTTTACAGACCTACAATTATTTCTACTTTATGCCCTGCTGGTGATTTGTCAAGGAAGGACCTGGCCAGATCTCCAATGCCTTTGTCAATCTCAAGCGAGACCACTCTACCGTCCTTCTGAAGCGCCTCCGCCATCCCAAGTGACGCACATCCGGTAAATAGGCCGATTTCTAAAGCCATGCGGGCCTTGCTCGCACTGGTTATGGATTTTATCAGCTGAACTACAGTGTACAATTAAGATCATTTTTAGAGTTTCATTGAGGTATGACATAAAGTCGGTCATGTGATCAAATTGAGGGCGTTATAATGATATATACAATAAAACATTTAATTATCAAAATGAATGATACAATTTAAGTCAATAAGCGTGATAAACAAAACTTTTTGTTTAAATTTACCCTCCTTATTGCCCGAAAGCATCCTAGGAGTTGCCACATAAGAAATCTCTCCCCTTTCATGGGTGTCCCTCCATGAATAACAGAGGGTTTCATTGATCAGGGTATCCAGGGCAGGACTGGGCTGAGTTGTTTGATTTTCGCAGTAAGTATGTCTTTGCTACAAGAAAAGCTGAATGTACACAGTGATTTTTTCTGCTGTTCTGTGTATAAGTGCATTGATATAGACCAATAAATCAGTGGTACATTATGTCTGTTTTATGCCCCCGCATAATACAGGGGCAAAAAAAAGTGAGGACATACATGTAACATAGTTTCTGATATGTTTGTCCGACTATCTGTGAGCTTTAATTTGTCTCTTTTTATCTTGTGGCAAATATTTTCTTTGAGTAATACCAAATTTGACTTTTTGAACTTGAAGTTTGGTCCACTTTTGAAAAACTTGTATCTCGAACTTGTAGCTTGGCTAAACATTTGTAAATACGGTGATAATAGAAAGGTTTCATTTTAAACGTGCATTTCCAGTGACATTACCTTCATTTGAGTACCAGCATTTTCTTTATTAAACACTTTTGACCTTGAAGTTTAATGTACATGTAACTTTAATTTACCTAACCATAATTATTTCTTAACTGTTGGAATTCCATTCATTTGAAAGTTTTGTACATGTATTTTTTAAATGTGAATTCCTTGAACTTTACCTTGAATACAAATATACTCAACAAAAAAAGAAACGCATATTGATTTACTCGTCAAAGAAATTTTTAAAATATATATGGAACAACTATTTTGTACATCATTGGATACCTGTGACCTTATTAAAGGACAACATGCGGTTTTAAAACCCAAGTGTTGAATTATCTCCCTTGATTAAACGTGTTTATAAAAGTAGTGTTTTTCAAGATTTCTTCTAAATCGGATTTCTACGTTGATATTTTGGATTTAGAGAAACCATTAACACTCCTATTAAACCCATATTTAAGATTTGATTGCAGTGTTGATGCTGCAATGCCACGCCGAAACAAAGATGAACACAACCAGGCTAACGATGATACTAAATGGAGCTACGCAACAGAAAGTTGCAACTGCATTTGGAATACATGAATGGGCTTTGCAACCGTTAAACTAACGTCGGAAGACCAAGAATTGGCCGTCCTCAGGTAACCACACCCAGGCAAGACCGTCAGACCCCCCCCCCCCTTTCAGCACCTCACGCGATTCATAACTTGCTGTAAAAACTGCTGCTACAATTGCTGAATGAAAAAATCAGCGTAAAAGTGCACAAATTGTTCGCAAGAGACTGAAAGGAGCTGGTATTCGTGCACGACATCCGTACATTGGAAATACACCAGCGCTCAGACGTCGCAAAGGATATATGAATTGGTTAAGGCGTTATGCCCCTTGAATTTGGAGGCGTCGACAATGACAAAAACTTCACTTTTCTACTTACAACACAGGATATGTTTAATTTTTATTAAAACCCTCTAAAATCACTTTTAAAAAAATAGGATTAAACTGAAAACATAGATTATCATGTTTAATCTGAATATGCGTTTCTTTTTTTGTTGAGTATATTTATGACCTCTTGACCTTGACCTTAGGCGTTTGACTTGCAGTAAAATAAACTTTAACATTGGCTTTAACTTTTGAACGACCGGTGCACAGGCTTTCATAATTAATAGTTACAATACGTTGAGTTCTCCTTTGACCTTGATAATTGACCTGCTTGTGACAATCTTTGACCTTGGACATAATTTTACTCTGATTTATGTTAGGGCTCTCATCTATCAGACGTTTTTTACCTTGTAACAGATTAAACCCCTTATTGAACAAAGCCACGTAGCAAGGGGGGCACTTTTTTCCAAACATAACTTTTACTATTGACGCTGTTCATTGGAAGGTCCCCTCAGTTTTTGCAACAGTAAAATGAAATTAGGGTAATATAGTTTTTGTTTGTTAAAAAAATTGATACTGAAAAAATTGACACTGAAGAATAAATTAGCCCCCCCCCCCCCCCCCCCCCCCCGATATGTGATTTTTGAGTTTAGGCAATATTTAGTTTTTGTTTTGTTTTTTCAGGTAAATTACCTTTTTTCTCTGGCTGCCCCCCCCCCACACTTTCAAAAACGATGCTACGTCACTGTGGGTACATGTACCAACATTTTCGGTCTTTAAACCTTGACTTGTGACCTTGACTTGCATTTAAGAAACTTTAATTCAATCTTGGTCCAGCAAATCTATTAAGAGTTGTCACATGGGGAACGTGTTTCCAAAACACGTGCATCATGCTGTACATGTAATATGTATTCAGCGTTGACAATAAGTATTTATCAAACTTAAAGCTTTTAAATCATTTTTGCACTGATAGGCATCTCAGCTCCTACCACAGGCACCTGAAGTATGGATAATACCCCCCCCCCCCCCCCCTTTTTTTTAATGAAAAAAAATGTAAGAGTATAATATCAAAAATATAAAATCAAACACAAACTTAAATTGTACTTTTTCTTTTAAATCATTTTTGCAATCTGCTTGCATATGATGTGTTTGAGGCATACATTTTTTTTCATTAAAAATGAGGGGGGGAGGGGTATTATCCATACTTCAGCTCCTACATTCTTTGAATTGGCGGTTGTGATCGAATTCAATCGTTACGAGAAACTGCTAATTTTACAAATGTACAAAATATGACGCCGCCTTCTACTATTAAATATTATCGTTATCCAAAAACACTCTCTTGTCAAATAAATTCCTCCGAAGTTTCCTTATGTAAGTTATGTCAGCCATATTGCATACTTTTTCGACCATTTATCATGTATTTTTTGTTTGCAATCCTTGAATGATCATTAATTACTTTTGAGACAGTCTTGGCTAATATGTTTAATTTCCTTACATTGTACACTCCGTAAATAAATGTAATTCAAGGCGAGATTTTTTAAACTAATTTAGAGCACAGTCGCGGACCATACTGTAATGCCTTGATATTTAATTTTTATCGATATACAGAGAGGATAAGATACCCAAACAGTTCACCATAAGGTCGATATTTTGCCCTAGATTGTTTACAAATTAAAGGTCTGAAAGGATTTATCCTTTGTGACTTACTTGATACAGCTCGATTGCTCTGTTAATTTCCGACCGCAACTCCGATGATACATTTTCTTTTTGGGCGATTTCTCTTGCTTTTACGAGGTGTCGGTATGCGGGGTCATAATTGTGGTTCAAATTATCCTCATCTGGCTTTCCGGACATGCTGAAGATTATGACTCTGTCACATCCGTGCGATATATATTTTTAGAATATCAAGAGAACTTAACTCTTACATAAACACAGTACCACCCCCCTTTACATTTTTCAGCTTGGCTTCCTCACTCAACTTAAGAATTTTTTTTATTGCCAACTACCTATATAGAATTTTTTTAAACAAAGACTTATCAGGACGTATCCCCCAGCCCCAAAATAGAATTTTTGTGTCCTTTTTTTGGTCAATTTTTTGTCAGATATTACTGTTTCTTAAATTGAATTTTCCCCCTCTTACTGTCCACTTTTAATTAAACGATGCAACATGTAACCTGCTTGTAATTTATATGGGGTATGGATTTTAAACTAATTCAGTGTTTAGGTTTCTATAAAAGTCTTGAATCTGACCTGAAGTTTGATAAAAAGTCAGTTTATAACTTGTCAATTATATTTTACATAGGTTTTAATTTTGATTACTGTATAGTGTACGAGCATTTCTCCTTTAGAACAGCAAGGCTGATTAAAATGCCCAAGAAAAGCAATTACGTGAAAAGACGAATTCAAATCAATTTTTAGCTCACTTGAGCTGAAAGCTCATGAAGCTCTCAAGTGCACTTTTCTAACCATCCGTATTCCGTCTGTCTGTAAACTTTTTCATTTTCATCTTCTTTTAAAGAACAAATGGACCAATTTTAACCATAATTGATACAATGCATCTTTGGGTAATTTAAATTGTTAAAATGAAAGACCAATCCCCCTTATACGTACGGGGGAGATACTAGTAATCAAGAAAAGACAAAAATTAGGTTGAAGTAATTAGCTAATCTTCTTGTCAAGAACCACTAACTCAGAGTCAGAAAAGCTGAAACTTATGTGGAAGCATCCTGGGGTAGTGAAGAATCTTAATTGTTCAAATCGTGACCATCAGGGTTGAGGCGGGATCACTAAATGAATGAATAATTCTTTGCGGATTATATAGCGTAAACTGACCCAAACCAAATTATACTCGATAATTTGGCCAAGAATAAGCGTAATTCCTTATAATTTAATTTTTGAATAATTAAACAACTGTCAATGTAAAATTGTGTTGCTTTTTATGAGGTCAAATTTACCGCTCAATAATACAACCACACTAACGGAAGTGATGGGAAGCAAAGGGAGGTAATAATAGATACGCAGACCTAGCAGCCATGATGTTTGTTTACATGAGGTAAAATCAAGCTACTGTTTGAAGTTAAAAGTACATTTATTAAATCTGGAATTTTCTATGGATCCCAGGGACTATAAATGAGGGGATTGCATGTATACAAATAATTCAGCTGTTTGTCAAGGGGGTATGTCCCCATGCCAAATCAGATTACAAGTATACAGTATAACTTGCGTGCCTTTTAGGATATCAACCAATGAGAGGCTAGAATACAAAAGAAATTAAATTATAAAAGGGTATCCAAGTTTTAAATCGAAATATATCTAATTAGGAAAGAAATCTTTAAAAATCATCCTCTCAAAAACCATTTTGTCAGAAAAACCGAAGCATCCTGGGGTAGTGTAGATTTTAAATTGTTCAAATAATGACCCCAGGGGTTGAGACTGACCACAAAAAAGGGAATCAATTAATGTGGGGGCGTCCTGGGGTAGTGTAGATATTCTTAATTATTCAAACCATAACCCCCAGGGGTAGGGCAGGACAACAATTATATGGGTATATCAAATGTATGACTGTATTGCAAGGGGGAATTGGTGAATTGCAGGGCCAAAGTCCTTAGGTGAGCGTTGTAGCCCATAGGCCTCTTTGTATCTTTTTTTAAAAAATTGTGTATTTATCTCTTTTAGCAAAGCATAAAATGTTAAATAAAATAACATAAAAAAAAATCTTTATCTACATCAGAATTGAACATCAATATCATAGCCACTTTGATATCTTAATTGTTTAATCATGTTTATTACTCAAACAGATATTGAACAACAGAACATGTGTATTTAGTTTACATTTTGAGTCACATTCAAATCAACATTGATTATTAAACGATTAAATGTACATGTATAAACAAAAAGGCTGGTGTAGTTTATGATGATTTTTTTTTTATAAAAAAAGTCAATATTAAATATACAAAAAGAGTAATTTAAAAGCAAAAAGTATATGACTACACAATCATCAATCATCAATTCTTAGCTGCTCCATTCAAACCTCGGATATGGTAGGTGGAAGAATACATGGTTGCGCCGGTTGCATGGTTGTCTTGTCACTCATTTCAGATATATCACTCTGCATAAAGTTCTTGAGGTTTTTTTAAAACGTGTCTAATTTTTCATTGTATATATATTGGTTTTAATTACAACCATATGTTATATACATGTAGTAGTCTTTGATAGCAAATTCATACTATTTGGTGAGCCACAAAGTAACTTAGATTTCAAAATTATGATATTTAGGGGAAATTCAAATAAGATCGCATTACTGCATCTGCAAAATGGCGGAACACCGTTCACTTAGTTTGCGAGGTACGAGCCATTCGAGGATATTCGAGAACGAACTCACGGCAGGTAATAAAGGGATGACACGGATACATATAATGTATATTTCAATAACAACAGTATTTAGCTTCCCGTTATCCAGAGGAATCACAATTAATATTACGAACAGACCATGGCTAATGGTTCGTTTCCGTGGTGTCTCCCCGTGGTGTCTCCCTTTGTCCCCCTGCGTCCCCCTGATGCTTGCATGTCATCTTTTCTCCTGATTAAGAGAAGACCGTCTCGTATCGGCAGCAAAACCTATTCAGTACAAAGTTATATCATCGTCATATGTAAGACATTCAACATTTTAATATAGTGCGAAATATCTATAACTATTTGCAGGCTTTTTCACGAAGTTTCAATTTTTAGAAGAAAAAAAATATACCAAAGCAATAGTACTGTCAATATTATTAATAATGCTTTATCATATGATACATGCAAATGATAGCCGATACATGTAATTGACAACCTACCTGATAATCTCTGGCTAAATTATACCTTTTGAAGGTAAATGTTAACAAGTCCAAAATTCAGTTTTTACATAGTAAGATTACGACAAACAGCACGACCTTTAATTTTCATTTACAGTGTAATTAATATAAGCTTTCAAAAGTTTCAGGCCCCCTCCCTTTTTGTACGGTCGAACACAGGCAGAATTTATAGCCAGAGAGGTGTCTTATCCCCTTCCCCGTACGAATTACTATTTTGGAGTTTGGATAGTCTACGTTTTATTTATTTCGGAAAGAATGGATGGTTAGTTGCATTCACCCACATTAGAAACCGTCGCAGCACCTAAATCTAAAATCGTTGCTACGTGCCTTTTGAGCATACTAGTACATGTATTTTACCTGGTGGACTTTTTCATCCTGTTTGACCATTTCATTGAATTGACCCGTGCCATGGCCTCTCCCCATATAATCCTCGTTAGAGTAGGGATCTCCAAAGAAAAGACTATTGTCCACTAGTATGGTTCCACTTTCAGCTAGAAGCCCGTATTCGAAAATCAGCTGCAAAAGAGGATTAACAAAACATATCTAAAAGAGGATTAACAAAACATATCTAAAAGTGGATAAACAAAACATATTTAAAAGAGGATTAACAAAACATATCTAAAAGAGGATTTAAAAAACATATCTAAAAGAGGATTAACAAAACATATCTAAAAGTGGATTAACAAAACATATCTAAAAGTGGATTAACAAAACATATCTAAAAGAGGATTAACAAAACATATCTAAAAGTGGATTAACAAAACATATCTAAAAGTGGATTGACAAAAATCCGTGATGTCGCGGATAAATACTTTGTTCAATGATAAGGTGCCATCATAGGGTGAAAAATGTGTTTTCTATTAAAGTAGTACTTGTATAATTATGTATTTCATGAAAATATCTCTTAATGAAAGACGTGTCATAGACTAAGTTCGTTTCCCCATGTCAAGCTTTTATAATTAATGAAGCATTTCACAATAACTTTACAAACCTTGTAATATGTACTGTTGCTGGATTTGTCAGCATCTAGGAAAATCAAATCAAACTCCATATTTTTGTCACAAAGTTTCTTCAAAGAATCCTTCGCAGGGCCTGTAGTAAAAATGATTTATTTATTCAGATACATCTTTAAGTACTAATATGGAACAGTTTTTAGTCATGGGGTTTATAGAATCTTATTTATTTAAAGTTTTTTAACCCCTTGTCTCAGTTGTATGCTTAAGTGCGGTTGAGCTACAGAACTGTAGCTCTCTGCTTGTAAAAAGTTTGACAGATAAAGGTCTGTTTTAAATCTTCGGATTTAAAGCATATACATGTAGCTACAATTCTGCAGTTAAAGTGCGATAAATTAATGCATTTTCTCATAAATGTATAGATTAAGTTAGCATGCGGCGGAACCCCCCCCCCCCCACACACACACACGCATTTAAAAAAACCATGTTGATCACATAAAGTGTGTAAACAAAACTGATCCCTTTGGCACTTGAATATCACTTTAATGGTACTATATTGTTATTATGATAGAAAATTATTAGTTCTGTGGAGTCTTAAAATTCTCACCAAGCATTATATCTACTTTCTTTCCCGCAGATGATTTTCCCAAAAGTGATCCTGCAAGTTCTGCAATATACGGGTCCACTTCACAAGAAACAACCTTCCCGCCTTCCGGAAGTGCTTCCGCAAGTGCCAAGGCCGAACATCCGGTAAAAAGTCCCAACTCCAGAACACGACTTATGTTTCCAATGCTCACCAGAGATTTCAGAAACTGGGCTAAAAACAAGATGTGTTTGTGAAACACCGATGTCTCCGTATGGCACATCATGGCAAAGATTACAATGTATTTTTTTTTAATTGCAAGTCAAACTCCAAGTCAGGAAATTTAAGTATTCAAAGGTTATGACAAAGGGTTTTTACAAGAAGCCTAAATTTCAAGGTCAATGCCAAAAAGTCAGTATTGGTAATACCCAAGTTCAAGTTCAGTTTATTCTCCCAAACCAAAATGTTGATACATGAAGTACATTAATAACATATATACATTTCAAACAAACTGGTCAGAGGTGCAAAAGCTATATATACAATACCAAGTATGGTACAATTAAAATGAAAATGAGTGGAAAAAACAGACAATAACAAAGAAAGTAATAATATATTAAGGAGGACAGACAGGGACATAGACTTTTAAAATAAACAAACATATTTTTTTTAATTATCTGTCGATTAGATGTTAGACCACTTAGATCACAAATTGGGCTGATCTAAATCTAATTTGCATTCGGTTTGGTGTTCGACTGTAGCGGAATTTTACTGAGCTTAACCACAGGTTTCATCACGGAGGACAGTACAAGAATTATGCAAGTAAAAAATAAAATAAAAGGTATATATATATATATATATATATATATATATATATATATATATATATATATATATATATATATATATATAAACACAAAACATCACACCGGAAACAGTTATATCACCCGACGGAAGCAGTTTTATCTCCTATATGTCATGTGTGGATAATAGAACCCGCGAAATTAATAGAATCCTTTACAATGTAAAAGTGTGGGATAATGAAATTCCACCAAGGGGAAAAGATTCACGAACTAAGACGAGGCTCTGCTTGTCCACGGGGTGGAATTTTACTATCCCACAAGAGTGTGTAATGAATGATTTTTTTCTCGCATTATTTTATCCGAAATAACGGCCTGTCATCGCCACTAGGCTAAAAATCCGGGTTTTTAAAAATATTTTTTATCTAAATAAAATTCTGAATACACCATTAAAGAAAGCGTACCTGGTTTACACTTTTTTTTGCAAACTAAAAAAAATGAATCAAAGTCAACTTAAATCATTCTGATTAATATAGACTGAGTGCATTAATATTAAATCTGTATGATAAGATAGAGTATAGAATGTCGTGAAATATTTTTATGCGAGCCATTAAACAGATTCATTAATTTTGCCAAATTTTATAATTAATTAATGCAAGTTTTTGGTCGTAGTCGTAAGTTCTTTCGTAAACGCGTGGGTCCCCGTGTTCGAGATTTTATGACGTCGGTTGTTTAGTACGGCGCCGCTGGAGGGCCAGGTAAAAAAATATTTTTATTTGTTCGGACAAATAAGAAATTCGTTCGGACGAATTAGAAATTCGTTCGGACGAATTAGAAATTCGTTCGGACGAATTAGTTATCTCGGACTATATTGTCGGACAAATTGTTATTTGTGGATCGGACAAATTAGAAATTCGTTCGGACAAATTAGAAATTCGTTCGGACAAATTAGAAATTCAGACAAATTAGAAATCCTTTACAAATTAGAAATGTAAAAGTGTGGGACTTAGATATTCGTTCGGACGAATTTTATTCGTTCGGACGAATTAGTTATTTGTTCGGGAAAAGACATTCGGACGAATTAGAAATTCGTTCGGACAAATTAGAAATTCGTTCGGACGAATTAGAAATTTGTTCGGACAAATAAGTTATTTGTTCGGACAAATTAGATATCTGTTCGGACAAATTAGTTATTTGTACGGACGAATTAGAAATTCGTTCGGACGAATTAGTTATTTGTTCGGACGAATTAGATATTCGTTCGGACAAATTGTCGGGCAAATTAGATGTTTGCACAAATTATCCTGTAAAGAGAGATATACACTTTATCTATTCAGGAGGATTTATCCTTTTTTTAATACATAAATAGCTCTTTGGACCATGACATACACAGTGTGTGATGTTAAAGTCGGGTATGTTGATTGTAAATATTCGGAAATAATGGATCTATATAAAGTCTGCCATTCTGAAAGTATATTTTTTTCTGACTAACACTGGGGTTCCAGTGGTCAGTTACCGCTTCTTTGAAAAGATGAGATCCACTTAAGGTTTTTACTGCAGGCAATTGGTACGGGAAAAAATTGGCATTGAAAAAGTAAGCCCCCCCCCACCCCCACCCCACGAAATAGGACTGTCAACTTTGGGCAACTGTAAAAGCGTATAAACAAAATTAAGAAATGCTGAAAGTGAAATTAAATAGTTTGTTGGACTACATGTACCTCTCCAATAACGGGAGGGGGCTATAATTATGAAAATCAATCTAGGGAATATACCAATGATCGGTTGACCATTCGCGAGTCATATGAACAACCTGGGCGAACAGGTTCATTTTTGTGAAGTTTTCTAAATTCACAAACAGGAATATTTAATTAAAAACTCAATGAGGACCTTTTAATTTTTATACACCGCATATGTACCAGATTGATTGAAAAAATCGGCAATATTTCAGCTACAAATCGGCGACATATGTATCAGAAATGTATTTCAAAAATCATTCACATGTCATGATTGATAATGAATATGTACATAAAAATCATAAGAAAGAGATCAACATAAAAACGACTTATCTTCAAAATATATTGAAATGTTGTTCATTAAAGTTATTTTGCAAAGAATCAAAATAAAATGAAACGTCTTGGTGCAAACCGCACATTATTCGCGGTGTCCTGATAGTTGTTCACAATAATTCGTGAAAATATTTTTATGCGAGTCATTAAACAGATTTCATTAATTTTGCCAAAATTTTATAATTAAATTAATGCAAGTTTTTAATTTGTAGTCGTAAGTTCTTTTGTAAACGCGAATATCTAATTCGTCCGAACAAATATCTAATTTGTCCGAACAAATAACTTATTTGTTCTAATTTGTCCGAACAAATAACTAATTCGTCCGAACGAATTTCTAATTCGTCCGAACAAATATCTAATTTGTCCGAACAAATAACTTATTTGTCCGAACAAATATCTAATTCGTCCGAACAAATAACTAATTCGTCCGAACGATTTTCTAATTTGTCCGAACAAATAAAAATATTTTTTACCTGGCCCTCCAGCGGCGCCGTAGTTTAGCGATATAGTATATTTTAAAAAAGATAGGTGAGCTAGCTCCGTTGCAATTTTTAAACACAAAAAGGAGGGTCCGTGATCAAGTGATTTATTTTGCCGAATTTTTTAATGTTTATTGAGGCTGGGGTGTGATAAAGTTATATTTTTTTGTGATATGTATTTTACAGACACGTAGGTAAAGGAACGAGGGGGGGGGGGGAGTGAAATTTTTGTGTTGACACATTGGAGTTTCCAGAAAGTTCCGAATGAGGAGAAGTGAAGTAGCTTCGCCCTTTGGATCATCTTTGTCAAGAACTGTTAGGTTAAAAGCCATACACAGATTTTTTTTTTTTTTTTTTTTAAATAAATAATAGATTTGTTCGTAATTTTTAGTGTAAATCCTTGTTTATGGAATTTTTTGCTTGGCCTACATTGTCATGATTGCGAGCTTATAGAATATATTTTTACTGTGGTAAGGTCTTGAAAATACACGTGTAGAATCCATCTTGTGCTTAGACGTAAATAAAACCTCCCTTGTCTTTGTTTAGAACAATCAGATAATGACTCGGACTTTTCCGTCAAAAAAAGGGAAAATTTGAAGTATTACAATTATGTAGTTATTTTTAAAGTGTAAGATATACAATAAATAAACAAAATTATTTAATGATATGTACAATGAAATTGTTATCGTACGGTCTATCTATAGTAGTTTTCATAGTTTTCCCAGAATGCACAACCGTGAAGCCGAGCATGCGTGGACTAACGTAGTTGCTAGCGCTAGCAAATAGGGTACCTGTAAAATGCGAAACGAAATAGAAACGAACTGAGACGAAACAAAATCTATCGAAACGAAACGAAATAAAAACGAAACGAAACGATCGAATCAAAACGAAACATACCAAAACAAAACGAAACCAAACCATCAAAATGTTTTTCAAATTAAGGTAAATTATTATATTTTTATTACAACTGCATTCGAATTTTTTACTTCATGTAAAATTTATATAGTTCAAGTACTTGTTAATATAAAATTTAATATAAAATTTTAACACTGAAAAGTCATGCTTCCTTCTCTATTGACGTATTTATGTACATGAATGGACTGTTGCCAGCTACAAATATACGCGAGCGTACTATGCATGTATAATTTGAAAATGTGTAGTATTTTTAAATTTATAACTCTTATTTTCAGTCCTTATTTTTCTAGTTACAACATATTTATCAAAATTTATGTGTTACATGTAAAAGCCCGTCTATATACGGATCGAAATAAAGTGTACTGTTGTATTGCTATTGTTTTTAAACATAGGATACTTTTTGTTTCTTATCACAGATAACAGTATAAATCGAGTTTCCAGCCAGCAAACGTAGTTAATGTGTAGTCATTGCTAATTACATATGTAGTGCAAGCCATGAGCGTCCGGATATAAACATTATCATGGGCATTTAAAACTGCAACCATTGTCCCCGAATCTGAATCATAATCATAAGTGAAGTAGCTTGGCCCTTTGGATCATCTTTGTCAAGAACTGTTAGGTTAAAAGCCATACACAGATTTTTTTTTTTTTTTTTTTTTTAAATAAATAATGGATTTGTTCGTAATTTTTAGTGTAAATCCTTGTTTATGGAATTTTTTGCTTGGCCTACATTGTCATGATTGCGAGCTTATAGAATATATTTTTACTGTGGTAAGGTCTTGAAAATACACGTGTAGAGTCCATCTTGTGCTTAGACGTAAATAAAACCTCCCTTGTCTTTGTTTAGAACAATCAGATAATGACTCGGACTTTTCCGTCAAAAAAAGGGAAAATTTGAAGTATTACAATTATGTAGTTATTTTTAAAGTGTAAGATATACAACAAATAAACAAAATTATTTAATGATATGTACAATGAAATTGTTATCGTACGGTCTATCTATAGTAGTTTTCATAGTTTTCCCAGAATGCACAACCGTGAAGCCGAGCATGCGTGGACTAACGTAGTTGCTAGCGCTAGCAAATAGGGTACCTGTAAAATGCGAAACGAAATAGAAACGAACTGAGACGAAACAAAATCTATCGAAATGAAACGAAATAAAAACGAAACGAAACGAACGAATCAAAACGAAACATACCAAAACAAAACGAAACCAAACCATCAAAATGTTTTTCAAATTAAGGTAAATTATTATATTTTTATTACAACTGCATTCGAATTTTTTACTTCATGTAAAATTTATATAGTTCAAGTACTTGTTAATATAAAATTTAATATAAAATTTTAACACTGAAAAGTCATGCTTCCTTCTCTATTGACGTATTTATGTACATGAATGGACTGTTGCCAGCTACAAATATACGCGAGCGTACTATGCATGTATAATTTGAAAATGTGTAGTATTTTTAAATTTATATGTCTTACTCTTATTTTCAGTCCTTATTTTTCTAGTTACAACATATTTATCAAAATTTATGTGTTACATGTAAAAGCCCGTCTATATACGGATCGAAATAAAGTGTACTGTTGTATTGCTATTGTTTTTAAACATAGGATACTTTTTGTTTCTTATCACAGATAACAGTATTAATCGAGTTTCCAGCCAGCAAACGTAGTTAATGTGTAGTCATTGCTAATTACATATGTAGTGCAAGCCATGAGCGTCCGGATATAAACATTATCATGGGCATTTAAAACTGCAACCATTGTCCCCGAATCTGAATCATAATCCCCAGCAACATCATCTGTTTCTCCAAAAGTGTAACTCATCATTTCGCTGTTGACGTAAATACCAAATTTACATCTACCATGGTCGCCCGTATAGATAGTCAATGTGAATACGTACACACCGGCAGTAGGAGCTATGAACATCCCACTGTTTCCGTTAAATCCCCCACCAAGGTTCGTCTTGATGACATCAAAGATGATCATATGGTGATTGCTTGGATTTCGTTCTGATTTCGCCATGTAAGCGTAGAATGCCACTGTGTTAGTACCGATCATTCTTCTTGTCTCAAAGTTGTAAACGTATGACGGTTCTACAAAAATATAATGATATATAACTAAGTAATTATATTTAATTCAAATTTTTGCATAAGAAAATTTTACTGTTATTATTCGATATATTTCCTATGCGCACAAATAGGCATTACTTCTAAATCTGTAAAGAATAGATGAAATTTTACCGCTCAATTTCTGCTGATTAGATGCTTTCAGTTTGTCCAAGTCATCTCTCAAGGATTGATTCTCAATTCGTAGTTGGTGAATCTCATTTTCCTGGCGTGTTAACATAGTTCCCAATTCTTGGTTTTCCTTTCGTAGCTCGCAAACATCATTTTCTTGGCGCCTTGCAATACTTCCCAGTTCTCGGTTTTGCCTTTGCAGCTCGCGAATTTCTTTCCATATTTCACTTAATTCAGTTTCAATCTCGGTGTGTGCGAGACTTTTTGACAAACACATTGTCAAGAAAAATGCTAAGCATATGGAAACCATTTTTGATATATATTTCCAGTTTCAAGCGAGTGACCTGTTGTATTATCGATTCTTATCTCGGATTCATGAGCACTTACTACATGTAATAATTACATGCATGTGTACCAGTATATACTACTCCTTTGCAATAAAGTTGCAAGGCCTTTCATCACATTACTGATAAATGTTAATTTCATGAGCCCATGCCCAATTCCCAAAATGAAGTGGAAAATCTCAACTGAAACAACCAGTAGTCGTTGTTCACCTTGTCTAAAATTTGTGTACACTGTATTTACATTTCCACGTATTGTGGCATTTTCACATTTCTCTCAAATTTTGTATGCACTGTTTCGGACAGTTAGAATTTATCCCATGAAATAAACAGAAATAAACATAAATCGAATGGGCCAAGATTGGATATATCAGGTATCAACTGAAGTGATCGAGATTTAGAGCTTTCAAAAGTTTATAATCGCTTATATGTATACATGTACATGTATATACATTGCAATTGTATCTGCATCTTTGTTTTGAACATATTTTATTGACAACATATGTGAAAGGGATTGGACACAAGTTCCAAAAACTTAGCTAGTCCCCTCCCATCTGCATCTTTAAAAGAAATACCGAATAGAGCTCAAAGTAATAAATTAATAATTTTCGAAGCTTCATGCTGTTGCACCTTTTTAACACCCCCCCCCCCCCGTGATGGAAGATTCAAGGTTCATAATTTACAGTTTTTCCCCGTCCGTCTATCTAGCTGTTTGTCCAAGATACTTCAACCTTGTCCACAGATTTTGTTTGCTTGGAGCTATGACTTTCATATTTCACATGTGTATTCCTTGTGACAAAAATACCTCTTGACCTTTCTGAAAGTTTGACCTACTTTTTTCTAAACATGACCAAACCTTAACCCCAGCTATAATTTTTAAAATACTGGTGCTAGGGTTTCCATATTTCACATTGTTGTAGTAATTGTGATAAGACTTTTCCTTGGGTATGAATATTTTTTACCTTGGCCTTATAGTTTGACCCACTTTTATAATACTTTTGAACAATTAATACAAAAGCTTCTCCATTTCACATATTGAGTGAAATCCTTTCCTTTGGTGACAATAATTTTGATCTTTTGACCTTGACCTTGGAGAATGACTTGCATTTGAGTAAATTTTGCCATTAATTGTCATGAGGGAGCATTAAAAAGATCGACAATACGAACAGAAAAATTGCAATGAAGGCAACTGACAATTAAATTTATTTATAGTCACTTTTAAAAGTCCTTTCTATATTCTCACAGATAAAAAATGTCTTTTCTTATCTTCATTTTGTGTGTGTAAAAGTTACAATATTAAAATTTGTTTCATGATGTTTATGTTTTTTTTGGTCATGTAGAAAAGCCATGTCTCTGTAAGAACGTCCTCTATAAGGCCAAGAACTACTTCAAAATAATTTAATCTTGTCTACAAGTTTATTGTTCTATAAAGACTGTATTTAATTTTGAACATATCAGAACAAGATAAGGCATTCGGATTGAAAAACAAAGTACATACACGCATACATAACAGATACTAGTACAGGTACCTTCTAAATTTCCAGAAAGCATTGCTGTACTGGGTTGGTAGGATACCTGCCCTTGGAGATAAGCTTTATTCCACGGATGACTTTTTGTCTTGTTTATCAAATATTGAAGCTCCTCGCTCGCTGGTGAAGTTTGGCTTTCACAATAGTCCATGCGTGCCTGAAAATTCAAATAAAATTATTTCAACGACTTAGGGACTTAATGAAGTAATGTATTTTTATGAATTGGACATTGTTTAAGAAATAAAGTCCGCGTTTTCGTGAATGTTGCAGAATAACCTCCGAGGTCGAGAAATGTTGTTTGAAAGATAAAAGCCGAGGTGTTAGCCGAGGCTTTTATATATTCAAACAACATTTCGAGACCGAGGAGGTTATTCTGCATCATTCACGACAACAAGGACTTTATTTCTATTCTACCAAGATCGATAAATACGGCTGATCGTTTCCTCTATAGAGAAACGAATTAGGTCACCATGTCTCGATTACGCTGTTCCATTTAACACTAGAGGTAAAATTTGTTTGCTTACCTGTGTATGGAATGCAGACGATCTGAGCTTTCGTTACATTAAAAATAGCCTTTTTTAAATTACAAATTTGTTCGTTATATGTATTGATCAGTTAAAACGAATATACAATAACAAAATCATGTTCCTGTGTTACTGCTAAAATCACGTTGTTTAATGTGTAGGGAGGTCCGTGGAATAGCCCCGCTTAGCTATAAAAACAGACTTCATCAGCAACTTTATGAAATTTACAGTGTTTATTTCTCACAAAGACGACACATCGATGCGGTCTAAACAAGTATTTCATTCTACAGCCAAGCATGCATTTGAATTGTTTTAATTTGATACGTGTTTCTGATCTGATAATTTTTTGATGACGTTCGTGATTTATTGGAGAATAATGTCCGGCGGTTTCCTTTGATGTTTTCAATAATCGTGGTAGAATTAATATTTAAGGCCGGTACGGGTTGCTTCAAAATTTGTAAATTCTGGAACTTCAGATTTTGTTGCTTTTTTATGCATTATTATTTTTTTTTTTGCTGTTGTCTTTTATTTTCATTTTATTACATTATTTTTTTTCACACAACACAGATACGTACTTACCTCCAATAATTTAATGATTTTATCAATTTCCGCCTTCAGTTCCTGTGAAACCTGTTCTTTTTTCGCCATCCCCTGTAATTTCACCAAGTGTCTGTATGCCGGATCCATGCATTGATATTCTTTGCTGCTCATGTTTTCAAACTATGGATAATTTTTTTCCCTTATCAAATAGTTGTTTAATTAGAAAGAAAAATATATCCCGTATTTTTTTTTACCAACGGAAGAAATTGCTTTGCGTTTGAAGAAGTCAACAAATCACCGATTCATAAATTATTTTGATACACACATATTTCTCTTTAACATATTTAAACAATTTTATAAAATTACGTCACTAAAGAGGCCTTAAATGATTGGCCATTTTTTGCTGTAACCTTATCGTTTTCCGTACCGACACATGTTCTGAATTATATACTCAATATTAAAAGCCCGACCTCTATCCCGGCCTTTTAAATGTTTTGCTCTACAAAGAAATATATACGTGTATTTATAAATACTCCTTAGACCAACACTCGAGGTATTTAGTACATTAATTTGCCCCTTAATCCTCTTAACTAACTCAAGACTTAAATGCCCTGTAAAGATGTTATAAATATTTTTCTTCAAAGTTCATAATCAGGGATTTTAAGTGCATATATAAACAAGCGCCATACATATCGTTGATCAAATGTTCTAGATTTTTTTCTTCCTTTTTCACAGATTAAATGTTTCTAATTTAAAAATAAATTAAACCGCCCTACATTTCATTAATCAATTGTTCTAGATTTTTTTCTTCCTTTCTCACAGAGTAAAATGTTCTAATCTAAAAACAAATCAAAGCGCCATACATATCGTTGATCAAATGTTCTTTTTTTCCCTTTCTCTCAAAGTAAAATGTTCTAATTTAAAAATAAATCAAATTAAGCGCCCCTCATTTCATTGATCAACTGTTCTAGATTTTTTTCCTCCTTTCTCGCGGGATAAATTGTTTTAAATAAATTCAAAAATAAATCAAAAGATTTAATAAGACTTGGAAATCCCCTTCATAAAATAGATCAGTACTGTATTTAACTTGTGAGTGTCCCTCGTAAAGAAATACGCACGCTAACTCTCGATTCCCGCCTACATTTTGGAACCATTTAATTCAAAATGAATAGCAGTTTGGCCGTACAATCTTTGCTTAATACAAAGAACAGTTCAATGGTAATTGATGAATTGTCTTAATACCAGCGCTAAACAGTAAATTATCCATAATTCCAGCTCTTGAAAAAAAAGGGGGGGGGGTAGACGGTATTTTCCATTGAAATCGGAGTTTCAGGCATCACCATATTTTGAAATAGTCTTGGATATGATTAAATGTTCCTTATATCTTTTCTTTTGTCTTAGGCAAATAAATAAAACATGAATATATCAATGAAATATAATGTTTCAGTTGTAAATCGCTTTGAAATTGGTGGAAAATAAACATTTTTATCGTTTTTTGTCAATAATCATTTGTTCCCCTCGTGTCACACAAAAAGCTTTGGTATGAATTTGCGAAATATCATACCATATAACCTGTAAAAAGGAATTTTTGTGACACGGGGGGAAGATGTTTTAAAAATATTTTCCGTTTTCCGTTGATTTCTATAGTGAAAAACACAAGTTTTACCAAAATGTTAGAGTTATCTCTCTTTGTTTTGCCAAATAAAACTAATATTTATAATGCCACATTTTATTCTGCCTGGTTTTACTCTTTTAATAAGTAATGTTTTATGAAAATACCATATTAGTGAGTAATTAAATCGTTTATTGTAGTGGCATCTGTTACAATACAATGAGAATTGAGAAACATTCAATACAGTTATTATTCAAACATTCGGACCACTTTTAAAAAGATTCATGCCCCCCCCCCCCCCCTAACCACAAATCCTGTATCCGCCCCTGATAAGTAATGTTTTCTGAAAATCCATATAATTATGTATAAAAAATATCAAAAATTCATCAAGTATGTTAACTTTTGAAATTTGACATGGAGGAAGGCGGGAGAACAATACTATCGTTCGCAGTTCTTTATTGCGCGCTTGATTTGTCTACACCTTACACCCGGTGTACACTTTTCCATAATCAAGTGCAAAAGTGTACACTTTAGGTGTACACCATCTACACCCTGTGTAGTGCATGTGTAGGGAATTGCACCGAAAATTCAATATGTTTGACAGATACCGAGACGGTAAAACTGCTGAATTTCTTTTTCTGTATTTGAGTTTACTATCAAGTATGTGATATAGGTTGATTGTGATGAATTGTTTTTAGTAGTTTAGTGGACCGTATTTTGTGCATTTTATAGAAAATGAAAAATTTCATAATTTGTAAAATAAAAGAATAAGCAAGTTTGGGTGATAAAGTCTCTACATATTTTTTTAATAAAGCTAGTTATTTAGATATAGGGGTAATTATGGGTAGCTGTGAGCCTCAGAAAATGTTTTATAAAAAAATATTTGTCTTTTCATAAATTTTGTTTTTAAATGGATTTTAAAAAATGTTCACAATCGCGACAAATATTTTATTAAAAAATCTTCTGCAAATAGGATCCCCTCAGCTGGTTGAAATGTTGATGTCCATGTTGAATTTGCTACACTTCACCCAATTTCACTTGATTATAAGGTGTAAATCGTGTACATCGGGTGTAGTATGGTGTAGACAAATCAAGCGCGGCCATCATAACACAATTTTAAACATATTGTGAGAAACAGTATATGACAAAAGTTAAGAAATTGAGAAGAAAGTCTCTAAATAGGTTTTTTTTCTCTTCTGAAACGGTAAATTTGTCACTCAATCTTATTAAAATGAAACCTTTCATCTCGCTCTTTGTAATGACTTGTCGCTACTTTCACGAGAAAAGGTCTAATTAATTAATTACATTGATCTGTAACTATAATAGGCATCGCCTGGTTTTGAAAGTTGGTGTTTTTTACAATTGTAAAGTATTAGGAAAGAGTATTAATGCATAAAAATTTATTTAAAAATCATTTTATAAAAATACAAAGGCATAAAAAATAATCTGTATAAAGCTACCTGCATGTTTCACTTGTTTGCCGTCAAAAAAGACGAGCGATATAATGAGTTAAAAAGTATTAAAAAAATATATACGTATCAAAAAAAATCTTTCAAAATAGACTCATGATGATGACTGATCTCGTAAAAAAAAATAAAGGTTCCTAATCAGATATACATGTAAATAATATAAATATTCATTATCAGATATAAACAATATGTATATTCATGCATGATCAAATGCAAAAATGAAATCAATATAAACAATATGATTATTCAGGCATGTTCAGATAAAAAATAAAATCAATATTTGTTCTGATAATATTATCAACTGAACAGGTCTTTCAGGCAATTAAAACAATTATTTAAAACAATCTAGATATCAATTTCACTAGCATGCACATCATAAATGATTTAATTCTCTTTGTAAAAAAAACTTGTACAAAATATATTTATATAACTAACATGTAAAGGTGTTATATTAAATCTTATAACATAAAATAAAAAAAAATTACAACTTAGCACTATGTACTAGTCTGTGAGAAAAAAGCTGAAAAAATAATGCCATTTTAAATTTTACGAGAAAAATGCATAAAATAATGCCAACATCATATTCATCCCTGAGACAAAATTTATGATATATATAAAGCGTCTAACATTGCTTAATAAAATAATGCCAAAAAAATTAATCACATCCAAAATACAATTCACGCCAACCCGTTATAATTCAACAATCACTGCTCAAAATTAAAAATCAATTAAAAGTGATGACAGAGTCTGTGTCCCTGCGACTTTGACTTCTTGTAAATAATCGTGTATTCTATTCAAGTTCGCGTATAAATTCATCTCAAAAAATAATCTTGAATTAAACATGCTACTCCCTTCTCTTTTTATATATATTGGAAAATCCGGCATGGGAACGCCCTTGCTTCTCAACAGTAAATCTGCATTACAAAGTGCTTTCAGTATCTGCTGCTGTAACTTTTCAATCTCTTTTTGTACATCCTTAAATTGTATGGATTGGACGCCATTTGCAATATCTTCGAATTCTTTGCTTGTCATGTCGAGAAGTGCATAAATTTGGACAAGAGACTCGTATATTTCCTGGGTTCCATTTTCAGCGGTTATCTGGAAAGGGTAAAAAAAGAAACATTAAATGCATGTGATGAAACATTAATTACTGTGGAGAAAAAAAAACCCAGTGAAATATGGAATGTTATATAGAATAAAAGAATTAAATTATACAACAAAAAGAAGTCCTTCAACCAAAATAGAAAAAAAAATATTCACTTTCGTTTCAAATTAAATTGTCATTGAATGCATCCAATAAAATAAGCGAAACTCAATTGGCATATGATTATTTTAGAGGGACAGATTTTCGCTTTACCAAAAAAATTAATTTCTTAAATCTTATGTATATTTTGGACACAAAAGCGGCGGGAGATCCGCCAGTGGGTTTGAAAGATTGCACACAGAAAATAGTTCTCGATACATTGTAGTAGTAATGATGTTGAAATTACCTCGCTATCTAGTGGAAACTTCGATACACAGCCATGATCATTGACATAATTCAATAATGCAGAATCTGTGTCCAATTTATGCTTGTCAACCTGTAAATATATATATAGAAATTTAAATTCATCAATAAAGAAAATCATTGAATTTTTTTTTAATTTGATTTACATTACGCAGTAATTGAGCTATCATGCTTTGGAATGCTTGGACTGTTTAGTTTTAAGTGTTGATGTGCAGTTATATGTACATATGTATCAAACTTTGCCAGTTTAGAATAATATTAAGTTTACCAATTAGAGATTGTTATAAAAGACTACACATAATACTTACTATATTTTTTCGTAAAATATCAGCTTGATATTCAATGTCAATTAGACTTTCTAGTAGACGTTGGATTGAATCATTCAAATAGGCTTGGTCTAAGACTCTGGGATGACACGAATTAGCTTTCAAACCATAAATCCTAGTTTCACTTTCATTTTTAAAATTGGATAGTGTAGCCAAAGTTAGCAGATGACAAAGGCCAAAATTATCCGTCTGCGAATTAGTAACATTCGTCGCAGCAGTTGGATTGGACCGCAGGTCTTCTGTTCTGTTTGTCCTCAAATCTAAATGGTTTTCGGAAGTAGAGTGTACTTCCGTCACAGTTTGAGCAGAAATGTCATCAGATCTAAGTGATGATAAGTTGGAATTTTGAATAGGTTTTAAGTTTTCTAGTGTTCCACTACTTTCCATTGACGAAAAATTACTCGTGGAAGTTGGTGTCACAGAAGGGAATAGTATTGATTCGTGTACATGCGACGTAGATCTAATAACCCGCCTTTCTTTGTCTTCTTGTGGGTCGTCAGCTATTCGCGTTTCATTGGAAATAGTGCTGGATATTACGTCATTTCTTTCGAATTCTAAAACATCCTCACCCGGTCTCGTATTTTGTTTTTCAATATAGCTCGCATTAAGTATATTCTGGACAATTTCGTACATCAAATTCAGATGAAGTAAGATTTTATGGATATTTTGAACTTGTACATTTTGTACTTCCGTTGTTAGAATTTTAAGAGGCTTTTGATCCGGATGAAGATCGCCATTGTTTATTTGACTTGTTCTAACCTGAGTAGGTATGCTGCTGTTTGATACTGATGTTGATATGTTTGGATTTCTTTTGTTGTTATTTTCCATGACACTGGTGTTATCCTTTGGCTGAGGGGGAAGTGACGTCATTTCATAATTTTCCGTTAATTCCGCTCTAGAGGAAGTTGAAGAAATTACAAAGCCCTGACCAACAGACACTGCAACGAAGGAAAGTACATGTTATTACAGGTACCCGACGAATGGATGGTTTAACCCCCCCCCCCTTTTTCAGCTTCTGAGAATTTTAAATAAAAACTATTTAGTTATAGGGAGGGCTTTGCCGATATATAGAATACTATAGAAAACATAGCTACATGTACACTATATGAAGTCTAATGACTTTTTTTTTCTTATCAAGGAAGTGCCGTCCCCACCCTCACCCGAAATAAAAATATATTTGGCTCTGCCATCACAAGCTGAAATTGCTTTCTATAGGTCCGTTGTATGATTGTCTTGGTATGCCTAAATGTAATTGATGGAAAAACGTATTGCAAACGAAAGCCCTTGAAAAATCGTTCATACCTCCTAGAAAATTAACATTAATAAATTGTTTTTAAAAATAAAGTGGATTTCGTAGGAATATGATTTTAAGGAGAAAATATTCACTGGATGTAAATTTTCATTTGATAGAATTTGTTCAATCTGCTTCCATTTGCAATATACCAAAATAATCAGAGATAAACAACTGCCATTAAAAAGTGCATTTATAAACAGCGTGCATGGAGAATTCTAAATGATGAACGGTGATGTATACAGGTGTCTTTCACTAATTAATTAGTCATGTACTCATTGGCAATTGAAAATTGTTAATTAATTATAATTAGTGAAAGATGCATGTGTGAAGTACTAGTATTGCTTTGGTGATAGCTTTTATAGAGGCACACAAAAGATCAAAAATGTTTTTTATGATCAGTTTGACATAACACTATACGATTCGGGTTTCTCCGGATAAAATGTATACACTAGTACATGCATGACTTATCAAACTTAAAGATTTTTGTTGTAAATTCTAAATTTTTGTATTTATTATTCCCTTTAACCACAGGGTTTTCGAAACGAACAGACTGAAATACGACGTTGATCATATTAGCTCTCTATTCAAACTTGTAACCGAATATTTTTTTAATTTAATTGTTTCGATAATCAAAATTGGTCATACGTACATCTCTCGAAAATTTTCAAAGAGTTAATAACTTTTCGTGATATAGAAAAAAATATTGTATATGAAAAAATCATAGAAATTCTTTAATTTTCATGTAAAGATACTCCAATTTATTAATTTGAATTTTCTCAAAAATTTTCCACTTTCCTTGCCTAGCGCTCGTATTTCGTAGGTTTTTTCCCGACATTCATAAAGATCTAAGCCTAAAGGCCGTAACAATTTGAAAAAAATAGATTTTAGCAACAAATTAACATAAAACGAGACCTATAAATGTTCACCAAAATAACGATAGTAAATGCCTAACGTTAGTTTTTTAAAACATGAGTTAACGTGGAATGTTAAGTAAGGAATAATAAAATAGATATTAGCTGGAGGAGGAAAATGTTATCTAATACATACCATACAAAAGACACAGTGACATAACTTGTAGTATAACTTGAACGGATAACGGTCTAAAAATTGGTTTTGTCATATTATCTCAGTCTGTATTATCGCCCGACTGATGCAGATAAAGGTTCAAACAAACAAATTATATATTTATACAGAATCTTTGAGAATTTTAGGATCCTTTAGAATCTTAAAGTATCTAAAAGGTATATTTTGTCATATTAATAGTTTCATTTTTTCTTAACTTTCGTGAAGCGGGGAGCCAATAAGATTATTTGATGGAAAGCTACTTTCATTTTCATCGAGAAAAAAACCATGAGTCAACTCTTTTACTTTTATATTAATTTCTACGGGTTGCTTACTTGCACTTTTGCTATGTGCGAAGTACACATAGATTATATTCCAAAATAAGGAATTCTAATCATTTTAATATTGGTGTTTGACATCAAAAAAGATATAATACTGATGTGCATGTACATACAGCATTTATTAAATAAATATTACTTTCATATTTAAGTTAACATAAGCTCATTAATAGATCATTGTTCATATTATGGTATATTTTAGTAACGGAACTGTATACATTGTAAATATTGCATGTAGTTGAGTGTAACATTGAAAATTTTCACCCCACCCCACCCCCACCCCCTGAGAACCAAGATGCAGCCGAGTTTGATCGACCATGGTTTTCGAGGGGTGAAAATTTTCAATGTAACACTCAACTACATGGGATATTTATTATATTATACTGGATGTTTTTTAAAAAAAATACATATTACAGTGAACCTTGCGCGCATAAATTTTGCACAGTCAGCATCTTTTTGGAAATATCACCCGTCGTGAAGCAATGTTGACTGTTGCTACGCTGGAGGGCGTAGCTTCATTATTCAGTAGTAATAATGTTTTTTAACAAATGTTTCTCGTAGAATCAGATTTAAACAATTTACATGAAAGAATAATATTATTTTTATAATATGCATTGCTTTATTGAAATGATAATATGAATATTAATATATGATACACTTAATTGGAGAAAATTTATTATTTTCAACTGTCTGAAAGAATGGTAAAAAATAATTGAATGGGAGAATTATGTTGTTGCTTTTTCTCCTTCTTTTTGTTACACAGACATTCACTAAACATTTATAGGTTAAAATCATTTTAAGTTAGAATCTCAGTTTAATTGCATTAATGGCATGAGAACAAATCTTTTCAAACTACCGCATTATGTAAATGATTAAATAATCATTTTATACATGTACTGAATCCGCACGTGGTACATGAGAATTATATTACTTCACCAAAATATCTCCCTTATATGCTCTTAGAATGTCTATCTAACTAAATCAAATAATAATTTCTGAAGGGTTTTGTCACAGACACCTGACGTTACTTTTTATTCTTTTAATAATAGATAAAATGTAGCCTGCCCCCTACCTAATAAGTTTATTATTGCATGTAGGTAGGGGGTATATATTTTTTTTTATTAAAAGAAAAATAAGGAACGTCTGAAAACAAACACAAAAAGTCATCACATCACCAAGCGTATTTGACCCGGAAGTTTGAACTAGATTATGACGAATTAGGACACCTTGTCTTATTTTTGTATGTGAATCAATTGTCAAAGAAACGTAACTCCTGTACGTTTGTCATACTTTTCATGCATGTTCGATGGCTTGCCTATAGAAAAAAATATTCAACAAGAGGCCCATGGGTCACATCGCTCCCAACGGCCCCGCCCTACCCCGGGGGTCATGAATTGAACAAATTTGAATCTGCACTATCTGAGGATGCTTCAACATGAGTTTCATCTTTCCTAGCCCAGTGGTTCTGGAGAAGAAGATTTTTAAAGATTTTTCCTATATATTCCTACGTAAAACTTTGAAAGCAAAAATGAAAAAAAAGAACTTCAAAAATAAAATACTTTCAGCATATAACGTATACAAACAGGTAATAATTAAAATCATTTTTACTGTTGATTTAAAATTATTAAAACTTCATAAAATACTATATACTCGTATGTCAAAGTTCTTTACACCAGAATTTTTCTTTTCAGCATTTCAACATATTTATAAAATTATAGTAGCATTCTTTTTAATTCTTTCACATTTTGTAAATTATTTTCATTTCGAAGCTGCAGTAAATCGCTTTATTCACCCATTTGTTTTACCAAAGGTCAAAATGACCAAAAAATTTTTTATACAATAGCTCAAAATCTATGTACATGTGGTTTATAAAGTTAAAGCTTGTATAGTTTATAAATATATCATTGATTAACAGATAGAAACTATTACTTGATAACAAATAATTTAAAAAGAATATTTAGCTAGAAAAATTCTTTTAAAAAATGCATATACTTTTACAAAATACACCTAAATACATATCTTTTAGTGAAATTCATCATTGCAGAAACAAAATATGTTCATCAATGAAGGGCAAGTAGGACTTGGACAGCCTCTGGAAAGTTGTTTTCCCTGTTTATTTTGTCCAAATGTAAAGACTTGAAACGGCGAAAGTACAATGCAAATGGCGGATTTTTAAGAAGTCTTGTCTTTCTACATATCATGCTTTCAATAACAGCCTTTCATTGACCATTCACGTTTAACTTGCCCTTCATTGATAAACATAATTATATTATTTCAGAAAATCGTAGAATCTACAATTATAGTTTTCACTAAAAGAACAGCATTAAACAAATACATTTTTTTTTTAAATATGCATTTTTTTCTCAAAAAATATGTATTATCTAAAATATTTGTTTTCTAATGATACTTTCTATCTGTTTATCAATGTTATATTTATACACTGTAAAAGTTTTAACTTATACCTCACATTCTTTTGGAGCTACATGTATTGTGAAAATATTTTTTGGATACGCTTACCTTTGGTGAAACCTTAAGAATGAAACCTTAAGAATATATTTTTTTAGTATTTTTGCAAATGTCCAGAACTTCTGTCCCCCTTTCAAAAATACTTTCCTGCCTGATATACTTTATTTTATCAAATAAGATCTCCAACAAAACTATAACGTCTTGTATATTTTTGTATTTGATAAAATAACGTACTAGTTATATCAGAAAGTAAAATGACCCCTTTATCCCCTCCCTTCGCAATCGTCAATTTTACATCAAAACGATAAATATTGGATATAACCAATTAAAAAGTCATTAACAGTATACAGTTGTTGACTGGGTACGGGAAACTGTTGAACCACAGTGAAAGATGTTGCAAGCCCCAGGCCCAGGGCAACAGTTTGCACTCGGGTATAAAAGATCACTGTTTCCCGAGCCTTTAGTCCGAAATATTTGAATGGCGTTTTCCAGGCTTTTTTTTACGATTTTGATATGTTTGTGCCAGGAAATCTGGCAAACGTAAGACATTTCGGACTACCGAGCCTTTATTTCCGGAAATCTGCATAGCATTTTCCGACATTTAAAAAAAAATATCTTGATATTTTTATTTCCGACATTGAAAGCTTCATAATATCGGAAATGAAAACTTAAAAAAATGTCGGAAATGAAAAGGTAAAAAATTCAAACAAATCCGGAAATGAAATGATAACTCAGTTAATTAAGGGTCATCTGACTTCAGCAGGCAACAGTCTATTTTAACATTCCTGGACCGACGGTCGGGGAAAACGGTCGAACTGTTGGAGTTTTTAAAGTAAGAAATTATATAGAGACTATTAAGAGGTGAAAACAATTTCTTTTTTTACTTTAACAGCTTAATGCAAAATATGTTTAAAAGTTTATCATACTGTCTTCCCGCAAAAGTTTATCAAAATGAAAGATAAGGGGCGTGCAAGGCAGGACCGATATCCCGCTCTGGGACAAAATATTTCTCAATTTTCAAATTCATAAAAATAATATATAAGTATATATTTTTCTAAATGTAATGCCATTAATGTCATCATTAACATACTTTAACGTTTTTCTTTTTATTGAATCATATATTGTTAAATTATTTGTTGTAAAGTTGATGATTAGGTAGATTTGGAGGAAAATAAGTAATTTATAGCCATATAAACTGATTTTTATATATGAATGGGTCAAGTCTCCATTTTTAATAAGGGCTAAAAAGAAGGGAAAGGGAATTTAAAATACCTTTTTTGTTTCCAAAAAATGGAATCTAAACCCATTCGATACGAAAAACAACTTTTCTGAAAAAAAAGATTAAAGCTCATCAAAACCATTTACTTAAGCCACTTTAAAGAGGTCAAATACGTGAAGACTGAATACATGTAGCTCAGTGGTGATCGCGTTTACTTTTTCGCAAAAAGCAAAATATGGAGCGAGTTTGAATCCATAAAAGTCTTCAATTGTTACGCACATTGTAAAGTCCAATTCCAGGAATTAATGGAGGAACATGATGTGCTTATTATATAGTCGATAGGGGTTTTCGGGATGCTTTGGAGTTTCTTCAGAGCTGTGGTTTCAGAACAGAGATGCCCCCATTTCCTGATAAAGCTTTCAAACAGCACAGTACAAAAGAAGCAAACTTGTCGAGATGTGTGACTAAGGTAAGATGGGTGGTTGAGGCAGCCAACGGCCGCTTAAAGAAATGGAAATTCCTTCACCATGTAGTCCCAAACTCCCAAATTCCGTCGATTGGCGACTTTGTGCGCATCGTAGCTGCCAAACTCAACAAATACAAACCTCCCTTGAAAAACAATAACGTCGGGGATGATGAATTGGGTAACAGGATGCGTATTGCTTCCACCACAACGGAAAACCCTAGATGCAAAAACGCTGTGCTGTGCAATGACATTCCATAGCAGGCCCAAACCCAGGAAGTTCTTTTATTTTTTCTATATGTGAGTAGCCCCAGAAACAATGGAAACCCATGGATGCACAGGATGTATTGCTTGATTTGCCGGTTCTTACCCTAACAGATCTCAAACAAATTACGTTTGGTGTATATCAAATTAAACAAGCATTGAAATATTCAGATGAACATCTGCCTGATGGCATTTATAAGATTCATCTTTCAAATACAGACAAAGGCTTACTACACGCCCGCGTTCAGTCCCGTCATTCGACTTGTAAGCAATACAACCTGTGTATGCTATACACTGCTACTGAAGTCCAGGGATGGTACTCTCAATGTACAGCAGGAGCTTAGACAGTGGGATGTTGTGCGCATGTCTGTTC